CACACTCACGTGTAGACACACACTCACGTGTAGACACACACTCACGTGTACACACACACTCACGTGTACACACACTCACGTGCACACACACACTCACGTGTAAACACACTCACGTGTTCACACACTCACGTGTAAACACAATCACGTGTACACACACACTCACGTGTACACACACACTCACGTGTACACACACACACACTCACGTGTACACACACTCACATGTACACACACACTCACGTGTACACACACTCACGTGTACACACACTGACTCACGTGTACACACACTCACATGTACACACACACTCACGTGTACACACACGCACGTGTACACACACTCACTCACGTGTACACGTGAGTGAGTGTGTGTACACACACACACTGACGTGTACACACACTCAAGTGTACACACACACACGTGTACACACACACACTGACGTGTACACACACACTGACGTGTACACACACACACGTGTACACACACACTCACGTGTACACACACTGACGTGTACACACACACACTGACGTGTACACAAACACGTGTACACACACACTCACGTGTACACACACGTGTACACACACTCACGTGTACACACACTCACGTGTACACACACTCACTCACGTGTACACACACTCACGTGTACACACACTCACTCACGTGTACACACTCACATGTACACACACACACTGACGTGTACACACACTCACGTGTACACACACACACGTGTACACACACACACTGACGTGTATACACACTCACATGTACACACACACACACGTGTACACACACACACTGACGTGTACACACACACACACTGACGTGTACACACACACTCACGTGTACACACACGTGTACACACACACTCACGTGTACACACACACTCACGTGTACACACACATACGTGTACACACACACGTGTACACACACTCACGTGTACACACACTCACGTGTACACACACACGTGTACACACACACACGTGTACACACACTCACGTGTGCACACACACACTTGTACACACACACACGTGTACACACACACATATACACACACACACGTGTACACACACTCACGTGTACGCCACACACTAACGTGTACACACACTCACGTGTTCACACACTCACGTGTAAACACACTCACGTGTTCACACACTCACGTGTGAACACACTCACGTGTACACACACACACTCACGTGTACACACGCTCACATGTACACACACACTCACGTGTACACACACTCACTCACGTGTACATACACACACTCACGTGTACACACTCACTCACGTGTACACACTCACGTGTACACACACACACTGACGTGTACACACACTCACGTGTACACACACACACACGTGTACACACACACACTGACCTGTACACACACACACACTGACGTGTACACACACACACACGTGTACACACACACTCACGTGTACACACACACACGTGTACACACACACACACGTGTACACACACACACGTGTACACACACACTCACGTGTACACACACACACGTGTACACACACACACACGTGTACACACACTCACGCTCGCTCGCCCTGTCTCGCAGGACGCGCCACGGCGCTGGCGCCTCGCCCCACCCCGCGCCGCCGTCTGCGATGATCGGCGGATCCATAAAGACGGCGACGGCGTTAGGAGAAATACTGTGGGGGGCGGGGGGGGTCGATGGGTGCCCCCCACTCTAAGGCGCCGGCGGTCCCGCCGCTTCTGCGCCGTAAGGGATCCGAGTATTTCACGCGTTCTTTACCGAGGAGAGCCATATTGCTGATCCATTGCATTTTTATTTGTGATATGTGAGCCAATTCACGACGATGAGTTGTGTTTATTGTTATTATTATTGTTGTCATACACGTGGGAGGAGGACACCAGAGCGCACGGAGAACAACCCCGCGCCTCGCGCGAGGGAGCAACACTCTATCCCCCGTACAGATGGATGCGTATGCCGATTAATTCACTTGCCGTCCTGCCTTCTTCTGGCGAGCCGGGGGTATGGCTCCACCTTGACGCCCACGGGTAGAAGGGAGTTTCACAACATCTCTGTGTGATCCACCAACCCTCTCTGCTGCTGCCGCCGCAGTGCTGGGTTAGAGGCAGACACGTGCAACGGTACAGCCACCACCACCACCGCAACCACCACTACTGCAACCACCACCACAACCACCACCACCGCAACCACCGCTACTGCAACCACCACCACAACCACCACCACCGCAACCACCGCTACTGCAACCACCGCCACAACCACCACCACCGCAACCACCGCTACTGCAACCACCGCCACCACAACCACCACCACTACTGCAACCACCACCACCACCAACACAACCAACACCGCAACCACCACTACTGTAACCACCACTACTGCAAGCACCTCCAACACAACTACCACCACCACCACTGCAACCACCACTACTGCAACCACAAACACAACCACCGCAACCACCACTACCGCAAACGCCAACACAACCACCACCACCACCCCCACCACCCCCACCACCGCCACCACCACCAGGCTATTACAAAGATGATGTCGCCAAATCAATTTTAATGGGCGGCAGGAATCCCAAGGACGCACGCGCGCATTTGGGATTGCATTTCTCGCCGGGTATGAATTCTATTGTTGTTGTTCAGTGTTCAGAGAAAAGGTGGGGAGATGTGGGGGGTGGCCTGCCCCCCCCCACCCCCCTTACACGTGGGGCACGGAATGTCCGTCCACGTTCCATCGAGGACACGCCGTGATCGAATGTGCGTTTAATAGGCGACGTTTTGGGCAATGGCCCTTCTTCAGAGGGATAAAGAAACGGGGCCATTGCCTGACACGTCGCCCGTAGTATTTTTATGTATTTATTATAATTATTTTCATGTTAGGCGAGTGTCATAGACGAATGTTTTTGAGTTTATTTAAACAAGTAGAATTTCCACCTTATTGGGAAGTCCACGGTGGTCATCCTTTGGATCTCCTTCTCTCGGCATTGGCAATGTGGAATTTCCACCACTGGCCGAGGTTTAAAAGAGATTAAACAAGGCGGGGAGGGGGGACACTTGGACGTGGCCTGGCTGTGTTCCATCTGTACGGGGATGTATGATATGTATGTTGAACTTTTTTCGCACCATACGTAGCCAACCGTGGTATCGGAGGTGCGGGGGCTAGAGCGTTGCCTCCTCGCGCAAGCCGCAGGGTTTTCTCCGGGTGTTACAAATTTCCTCCCACGTGGTATAATAATAATAATAATAAAACGCTCATCAATAATTGGCTGAAAACATCTTTCAATGAAAAGGCAACGTGGCATGACCCTTGTGAAATAGAATCCCGTGACTGAGTGATCTAATATAAAATTCCGTGTTTATGAACGAGAGCCAGACTTAGGGGGCGGGGGGGGGTACCCTTTGGTGATGCCAGAGGCCGAGTTCCACCGTTAGCCGAGCTGGTGCCGAGCTCTGTAAACACACGGAGTTGGATTTTTTTCTTTGCTCTTTCCCGGAGATTTGCAGATAAAATAAATGAAGCTCGTCCAGCACGCGTGAGAACCGCCGGGTGATCGCGTGCGCCAATAAACACCTCGCCCGAGACACAAACATCGTCATCGCACACCTCCTCTGGGCTCTGACAACTGCTCGTCCTCCTCCTCGGAAGACACAGATACCCATATAGATACATAGACCCATAGAGATACACAGAGACCCATAGAGATACGGTGACCCATATAGATGCATAGAGACCCATATAGATTCATAGAGACCCATAGAGACACGTAGCTATCCTTATAGATACATAGGGAAGCATAGAGATACATAGAGACCCATAGAGACAAATTAAAGACAAGCCAGAGGAGTGAGACTGTGGCCGTGCAGTAAAGCCATAGGGGGTCTGTCACGGTGGGTTGTTTGACCATACTTCAATCGGTCAGGTGGGGCCCCAATGTTTAATTTGTCTCGCACGGTGGCACCCGGGCTGTTACATATCGCGGCTCCTCTTGCCTAATCGCATCATCAGCGTGACGCTCACGGTCTCGAACATTTCTCCCTGTAGCGGGTGCTGCGCGTTGTTGTTGTTCTTTGACGCTGTTGTTGGAAACAAATCTCATGGTGGTCGTCAAGGGAGCCCCAACGCGAAGCTTTGGCCACCAGGGAGGGTAAAGGGTTAGAGGTCAAGGCACCCACCTCCTACCCCCACGTTCGTCACGCGACTGGTCACTGACCGCCGCTCCCCTCGCCCGCCCCCCCGAAGCTCCCCCGTGTCCCCTCGCCCGCCCCCTCTCGTCGTGACGTATGTACGTGTGTCTACGTTGAAATCCTTTCGCGCCCTACGTAGGCAACCGCACTAATCGGAGGTGCGGGATAAGGACAACAAACTGCACACAAAAAGCAGTTCTCGAGAAATGAGTTTTTAATCCAGATGATGATTTTAAAGTGCATAGCTCCAGTGGTTTCCTAATGCCGGAAGGAAGAGCATTAAAGACGGCCGCAGAAGTGCAATCTGACGAAGGCGCGGCGATGCGGTGATCACCGTCTTTGCTCGACGGTTAGCCAGAAGCCGCTGCTACTGCGAGGATGGCGTGATGGCGGTTTATGCTCCTTGAGATCAGCGAGGTATTGTGGTTCTCTTGTGGCAAGCACTCTGTGCGTAATGAGTGCGACCTCATAAAAGGTCGCGTCCTGCACAAGCCCACACTCTCTTTTCTTAACAGTGCAGTATCGTTAGCCTGCGTCTGTGTGTGCGTGTGTGTGTTCTCTACTCCACGTGTCCACGTTTCTCTCTCTGCAATGGACTCATCATCTCTGCAGTACATCATCGTACACTCCACAACGGAGGGTTCATTTCTCACCGAAACGTTGCCATGGGTCGCTGGCACAGAGCGGCCGGGGGGTGCGGTGGCATGAAGACGAACGGTCGCCACGGCGAGAGGTGGCTGGGGAGTGTACCGGATGTGGTGTGCCGGGTGCGGAAATACAAATTTGTCTTATTTTTTCCTTGCGCCGCAGTTCACCACCAAGGAGCGCTGCCTGATGGAGGGAAGCTCGGAGAAGCTGCGCAAGGAGCTGGAGGAGGAGCTGAAGCTGGGCAGCGATGACATCCGCAGCCACGCGTGGTACCACGGCTGCATCCCGCGCGAGGTGACGTCATCCCCCCCCACCCCCCGCCGCCGCCGCTGCCGCCCTCCTCCAGCAGTCCGTGCCGCCGACCCCCTGTTTGAGACCAGGCCCGAGAGCACGGGGGTCGGCGACCTGCGGCTCCGAGAGGACCGCTTCGTGACGACGCCGTTCATCAAGGCCCGCCGCCATCGTCTCGTGTCGCCACGTGTGGCGGCTCCTCAAACATTGAGCGTTTCTTTCGTGAATTCGAGCAAAGTTGGCTGCTGTAGAGTCCTGAGCGCGGTGCCGACCGCCCGCCCCCATCGTGTGGCCGTGCCGGCCTCCGTAGGTGCCACTCGCCAACAGCACTTGTCCCCGGTAGTCTGTTGAGGCTACACTGGGGGGGTCTTTGTCGCTCGCTGTCGCTGTGCAGTGGCGTGATTGCGTCGCTCGCTGCCTGCGGTTGAGCGGTTGCAGGTGGCCGAGCGAGCGCTGGGGAATGACGGAGACTTCCTCATCCGCGACTCGGTGTCGAGCCCAGGGAACTTCGTGCTCACGTGCCGCTGGGGGGCCGCCCCCCTCCACTTCAAGATCCACCGCGAGCTCCTGGCCAGCGTGGCCCCCATCTCCACAGCGAGAGGTGAGGAGGAGTCAACCTGCACAGGCAAAGATCCCCCGCGAAGGCTTGAGCAGGCTGTTGGGGCAAGTGCAGTGGGTGAGCCACCGGTGAAGGCCCCGGCACGGCGCACGAGGGGGGGCGAGTGGCCGACACCACGCCCCGGCCGCCTTTGTCTCCCCAGTGACGATGTTTACACACCGCACCAGGTACTAATTTGAGGCTGAGTCGACCCAGGGGAGGCCCAGAACCGGTTCCGATAATCGTCACTGGTGTTGGCCGTGAGCGAGAATTGAACCCGCGTCGCCGGGTTCGTAGCGCAGCGTAGCACTGACCGCTACACTGCCCCTCCCCCACGCACACAGACACACACGCAAACGCACACGCTGCTAACCACACGCGCTTTGAAGCCACGTGAAGTGTGGAAGGCTCTTGCTGACAGGAGGTGCCATGGGTTGACAACAGATTTAACGGGCCGTCGCACCACCTGTTCTCCCCACTGCGTCACTTTCTACCAACGCCCAGTCAACATTCAAACCCCCATCCACCCTCCCACCAAGACAAAGATCCCCCGTATAGCCTTGACAGACTGCTGGGGCAAGTGCTGCTTGTGAGTAGCAGCACCGATGAAGACCGGAACGGCAAACAGGGGCGGCGCGGGAGGGCTCGGACCGGTGGCCTTGAACGAGAATCGAACTCGTAGCGCTAACCACTACACCACCCCCCCCCTCCCACCCTCACCCCGTCCCACAGTGTTACCAACAACGCTCACTCTCTATCCCACCCACCCACCAACCCTCCCTCCCGCAGCCTCCCCGCTGGTGACGGGCCGGAGCCGCGTGCAGTACCGCTTCGAGCAGGAGTGCTTCGACAGCGTCCCAGCACTCGTGCGCTTCCACGTGGGCAACCGGCGGCCCATCTCGGCGCAGACGGGCGCCGTCGTGGCGCGCCCCGTCAACCGCACCGTGCCGCTGCGCTACCTGGAGGCGCGGTACGGCGGCGGCGGGGGGGCGGGGGAGGGGGCCGCGCGGGGTCGCACGTTGGGGGGCTCCCCCGCCCCCCAGGGGGGTCACGCTCAGCACCCCCTCGCCAAGCGGCTCAGCCTCAACATGGGGGACGCAGCCGGGCAGGACGGATCGCCCGCCAGCCTCGTCAGGTGCCTGACACGTTCCCGTTTGTCTTAATGTCAATGTTATACATCAGTAGGAGCACATGGGGGGTGGCGGTAAAGAGACTCCGCTGTGCTCCTGGATTTAGAGGGGCGAGGGGATTGGGCTTGGTGCCCCAGCGAGTGACGGCCGCGAGACAGGTATCTGTGCTTTCATTTGGGGGTTTCTGATTTTTGTTGTATAATTATGCTGAATATCGTTTGGTGGCAGCAAGTGTACGAATGCCTTCGTCCAGCAGTGCGTTGATCGTGATTGAGCGATTGACGATGACGATGGTGGTGGTGGTGGTGTGCTGCGGGCGTTATGTCACGAGACACACCAGCGGAGAACTACGTAGGAACGCATCGTCGTCAGGGGTTTATTATTTGTTGTTACCCCAGGACAGCTGCTGCAGCTACCTCCTCAACAAGACGACGATCCCTGGGGAGAACCGGGACAGGGGGCAACCCCCCAACACTATTGCCCACCTCTCCCCCTCCCGCCAATCTCCTCTGACCATCACTCGCATCATCGTCGCCGTTGTTGTTCACCGCAGGGCGAAGGAGAAGAGCGGCAGCCACCCGACCAACCTCGACCACCTGCAGGAGAAGCACCGTCACCTTCCCACGCACCAGTCCGAGAGCCACCTGCCGCTGGGTGCGTGTACCCACAACCCCCCGCACCCCCCCGCACCGGACGTGCAGCCCCCGGAGGTCGCCGGTTCGATTCCATCTCCTGGCACGGCCGCCGAAACGACGGGGCGCGATGTTTAATTGGTGCGCCCCTCCACGCCAAACAATCACGGAGCATTGGCTGCGGGAGAGAACAACCCGAATGAAGTCCACAGACAGGCCGGGACCTGCCCGATCTCCCGCTTGCTCTCGTATCGAGTCACCGTCGCCGCCGGCTAGATCAAGACCGAGATTTTTTTCTCTCTCTCCTCCTTTCTCCAACTCCCGGCCACGCAGGTCAGCGCGGCCGCGCGGCAGGCGGCGCCGGCTCCGACAAAACCCCGGCGCTGCTCTCCCCGCTGTTCCGCACGGGCAGCGAGCCCGTGCTGAGCCCCACGTTCCAGCGGCGCGTCGGGCCCGACGGCGCGTCCCTCGCGCCCGCCTTCGAAGGAGCCCCGCCGGCGTCCTCCTCCTCCTGCTCCTCCTTCTCGGCCGCCGGCGCCAGGAGCGGCCTTCGGGGCTCCGACGGGCAGCTCAACGGCAAGCCCCCGCCCAAGCCGTGCCGCGCGCCGTCCGTCATCATCAGCGCAGACCCCGAGGCCACGGGAGGCCACTACTGCGAGCTGCGGCCGGTGAGAGCGGCCCGCCCGCCCGCCCACCCTCCGGCCGGGTTTGCGCCGCGGCCGCGGCCGTGACCGCGCGCCGGCGGCCCGGGACGGCGACGCGCTCGCCGCTCGTTGCGGAGGTTCGCGGTTTGAATGCGGCGGGCCGCCCTGGTTAACACTCAGGGTCGACGTCAAAGATCCCGTGACGCCGTTTGACGCGAGTTGGCCATTGCGCGCGTCCAATTTTTGGCAAGTTTGAAATTCGCGTGGCAATTTACTCGATCGGCGCCAATCATCGCCCCGCTAGCAGACCGACGACAGCTGCCACTCGGGGTGCCCTTTAAAATGTGTCTGAGGTGCGACGTGAAGCTCCCGTAGACGCCACGGCGTAAGGGGCGGCTCGATGAGAAAGGGGGAACAGCTCATTCTCATTCTCGCCTGCAGGGTGAGTGCATCGCGGCCGCACCGCGGATCGCTCGCGCACCGGTGCACCATAATTACGGTCACAATCGCCCTGTCCAAGGCATTGCAGGGCTGCCCCTTTGCCGCAAGCCCAATCCACACGTAACGATGCACGCTCACCTTTGTCAGGGCCTCTGCACACCACGCGGATCATGGACGTGGGGGGGGGGGGGCGGGGTCAGGTTTTGGTCAGTGCGAATTTGGCGAATGCGGGCAGCGTGTATGTGGCAGCATAGAAGTGTAGTACAATAGTTGAATTTGCTGCCCATCACGTCAAGCAGCCTGTAACACCGGTGCCGTGCGTGGCGGTGGCCCATCCACGCGTCGTCCGGGCTCTCAACGCCTACTTAGCTGCTGAGTTCAAAATGAGTTTTGAGTGTGTTATGGGTGATCTGGGTGACATTTGGGGAAAACGAATTGTGAGAAAAACAACGGCCGATTCAGATGAAACCGCCCCCCCCCCCCCCCGCAAAATAAAATCACTCGTCACGATCACCGTCAGTCATCGTCGTCGTCATTACAGCGGCGCATCGCGTGGATACATTTTTTTTTGCCGTTTTGATTTACGGCGGCCCCCGATTTGCGATTGGCTGTCGTGCAGGTCCCGCTGTCGGGGGCGGGAACCCCGGCCTCCAGGAAGAGGGGCCACGTGGAGCGGCTCGTGGCCGAGGAGGTGGCGGCCGCGAGGGAGGCCGCGCGCCGATCCGAGACCAACTTCTCCGTCCTGGAGGGCGAGCGGACGAACGCCAGGGTCACACGGCTGGCCGACGGAAAGAGTTGCGTGCCGTCATCGTCACGGTCGCCATCGTCGTTATCATCAGCAGCAGCATTGTCATCATCACCAATTATCATCATCAGCATTGCCATCATCACCAATTATCATCATCAGCATTGTCATCATCACCAATTATCAGCAGCAGCATTGTCATCATCACCAATTATCATCATCAGCATTGTCATCATCACCAATTATCATCATCAGCATTGTCATCATCACCAATTATCATCATCAGCAGCATTGTCATCATCACCAATTATCATCATCAGCATTGTCATCATCACCAATTATCATCAGCAGCAGCAATGTCATCATCACCAATTATCATCATCAGCATTGTCATCATCACCAATTATCATCATCAGCATTGTCATCATCACCAATTATCATCATCAGCATTGCCATCATCACCAATTATCATCATCAGCATTGCCATCATCACCAATTATCATCAGTAGCACCATTGTCATCATTGCTAATCATCATCATCAGCATTGCCATCATCACCAATTATCATCATCAGCATTGCCATCATCACCAATTATCATCAGTAGCACCATTGTCATCATTGCTAATCATCATCATCAGCATTGCCATCATCACCAATTATCATCAGCAGCACCATTGTCATCATTGCTAATCATCATCATCAGCAGCAGTAGCAGCATTGTCATCATTAGCAATTATCATCATCAGCATTGCCATCATCACCAATTATCATCAGTAGCACCATTGTCATCATTGCTAATCATCATCATCAGCAGCAGTAGCAGCATTGTCATCATCAGCAATTATCATCATCAGCATCATGACCAATTATCATCATCAGCAGCAGCATTGCCACCAAACATCAGCAGCAGTCGCAGAATTGTCATCATTGTTGCCAACCCATCATTGCCATGATTATCACCACTTTGGTCACCACGATCATCCATCTAATGTCCTTTCATCCAGCCGCACGTCTGTTTGTATCTTTGTCTGTCCTTGCCACTGCACATCCACCGTCCATCTCACTTACCACCCGTGTCACTCACCACCCGTGTCACTCACCACCCGTGTCACTCACCCTCACTCACCACCCCTCTCACTCACCACCCCTCTCACTCACCACCCCTCTCACTCACCACCCCTCTCGCTCACCACCCCTCTCGCTCACCGCCCGTGTCGCTCACCGCCCCCCGCTACAGAGGCGGACGAGGAGCTGTTCGTGCCGGAGGTGGAGACGGAGTCGGCGTTCCAGCCGGGGTCGTTCCGCTCGCCGCTGCTCCCGGCCGACAACAAGCCCCTGGACACGGCCGTGCTGCGCCTCGTCAAGGAGGCCTTCGGCGAGCACGACGCACGCACCATCGCCGGCCACATCACGGCCATCGACTGCCAGGTGCGGGGGGGGGGGGGTTGCGGGGGGGGACATGGGGGGGGGGGTGGCGCGGGGGGGGGGGTGGTCGTCGAGAGAGGCTTGGGGCGCCACAGTCTGTCTGCCTCTTTTGTGTCGTCTGACCTGGGTAGACCGTCTGTCTCGTTTGCGTCATGTCCGTCTCGTCTACGTTGTTTTGTATCGTCCGTGTGTCGTCTCTTCCGTCTGTGTTGCCTGTACCTCCTCCTCATGGGAGGCAGCGGGAGCCCTCCGCGTGACCTGGCGCCGTCTGTCCCGCAGGTGGCGCGCGTGGTCGGGGTGACGGAGGAACGACGCCGGAGGATGGGGGTCTCCTCCGGCCTGGAGCTGCTCACGCTGCCGCACGGACACCAGCTCCGCAAGGACCTCATGGAGCGGTGAGCGCACGCTCGCACAAAGGTCCCCCACAGGGTAGCCTCGGACGGCGTCGAGAGAGCGCCAGCGACGGACGGTGCACGAGGAGGAGCTGCGTCGCGCGGCGCCGCGCCCGGCCGCCTTTGTCTCCCCGGGGCTGATGTTGGCCGCGAGCGTGAATGGTGCTCGGGGGTCGGCGGATTAATGGCGCGGCGAGAAGTTCACGTGCACACCCACATGCACGCTCCCCCCTCGTGCCGGCGATCGTCGTCGCGCTGACCTTTGACCCCGACCTCGCACCGCCCCCCCCCGCCCCCCCCCCGCCCCCCCAGGTTCCACACGCTGGCGATCGGCATCGCGGTGGACGTGCTGGGCTGCACGGGGAACTTGCGCGACCGCGTCGCACTGCTGCACAAGACTGTGCAGCTGGCGGTCGAGCTGCGCTCCTCGTTCGGCAACCTCTTCGGCTTCGCCGCCGTGATGAGGGCCCTCGACCTCCCACAGGTGTGGCACCCTGCCTCCACCCCCCCCTCACTCCCTTACCCCCTCCCTCCCTCCCGCCTCCCCACCCCTCCCTCCCCCTTCCTTTCCTCTCCCCCTCCACCTTCGAACCCTCCCTCCATCCCCTCCCCTGAGTTCTCATCCCCATCGGGGGGGGGGGAGGGGAGGGGGGAGTCGGCTAAGCCCCTCCCATGTCTGAGGGGGGTCAGTGGCACTTGGAGATCGCTCACTCGGGGGCAAGGGGAAGACCTGGAGCCTAGGGGGGGCGCCGGCACTCTGCCAGAGAGGTCCTGGCAGGACGCGTCGACCGCGTGGCAAGGGGACGGCCCCTGGCCGGCGGGCATCGGCAGAGATGACGCCGCGAGGATCTTCAACATCTCGCCACCGTGGGCATAGCGGTGGCGAGATGTTGACGGCCTCGCCTGGTGTGCGAGAGGTCGTGAGTTCGATCCCGATGCCTGATGTGTATTTGGAGTTTGAGTGTCTCTCTCCCCGTGGTCGTGTGGATTTTACCCTGGGTACTCCGGTTTTTCCCTACACATTTAGAATCAACACTCGTTTAGAGTATTTGGCTAAGCGAAGTTTCCGCGTGATAAGCCACTTCGTTAAGATATCATTTGTGGCCAGGACGGTTCTTAAAAAGAGCTATATAGCTCAGTGGCCCTGATCTGCTAAAAATGTGAATAGTTTTTTTCGAGATAAAATCGGAGGTTGATTTCCCAACAGCTGCGACGTTCTGCATCAGAAAGTAGGCAAACGGCATCACCGTGCGGTGGCATCGATGGCATAGACCTTGACTCGACGACCTCGTGACCTTGACCTTTGCCGTGGGCACGCAGGTGACCCGGCTGGAGCAGACGTGGGCCGCCCTGCGCCAGCAGCACACGGAGAGCGCCATCGCCTACGAGAAGAAGCTCAAGCCCTTCCTCAAGTCGCTCAACGAGGGCAAAGGTCAGGCTCCAGGGCAGAGGGCAGAGGAGGGTCACGGGAGTGGGGGGGTCGTCATCCAGAGGTCAGCATCCGGTCCGGTGGAGCTGTGATCTCCAGTCGGGTCGAGTGACTCGCACGCGCTGACCAGTCGGTTAGCTCATTGGAGCTGAAGTGATGTCACGGTGGCCAGATGTTAACTCCCTCGCTTGGTATGTAGGAGGTCGATCCCGACCCAGATGCCTGCTGTGTATTTGGAGTTTGTGTGTTCTCTCTACCCGTGGTCGTGTGGATCTTTCTCCAGGTCCTCCGTTTTTTCCCTCTACATTTGGAATCAACATCATGCGTTTAGAAATGTTTACATGATGATAAGCCACTTCGTTGAGCTATCACTTGTGGCCGTCAAGTTGCTTCTGAAACAAGAGCTACATAGTTTTTGTCGGCCTTACCTTCTGAAATAAAAATGTATTCCGTTACATTTTTTTTTTTAAATCGACCGGTGGCATTTACTTATTTATTTTTACATTCCCTCTCCCCTCTCCGGACGCAGAGGGCCTCCCGCTGTCAAACACGACGATCCCGCACATCGTGCCGCTGCTGCAGCTGCTGGAGAGGCCGTGCGGGGGCCTCGCGCAAGACGGTCCCCCGGAGCCCTGGGAGGGCCCCGACCACGGCCTGGGGGCCGTGCTGCGCCACCTGGAGAACGGGCGCTCCGTCGCGGCCAACGCGCGCATCTACAGCACCAACGCCGACGCCAAGCTCGCAGGTGGTGGCGCACGCCACGGCACGCACGCCGGCAAAGTAGCTGTCGGTGTTACCGATTGCCGTTTACTCGTGGTTGTGTGCTGCGTGTTGAATTTCTTTCACACCGTACGTGGCCAACCGTGCTAATCGGAGGTTGCTCGTACGACTCGGTTGAGTACATTACGAGCGCTCAATTTACTAATCGCTCCGATGGCAAATTATTCACGAAGGAGGAAAATTGCGGCTCAAATGATAGCAACGAGGCATCCGGTGCTTGTCTGCTCCCTACAGCCCTGCAGAGCCAGTGGTAGACATTCCACATTCCTATGACGGGGGCCATAATAAATCGCCAGTTACAAACTCAACTAAACGAATTTTTATTTTATTTTACGAGGTAAGGCCCACTGAGCTACATAGCTTCTTTTAGAAGCGACCTGGCCACAAAGATAGCTCAATACGGTTGTTTATCACGTGGAAATTTATAGCAGCCGAATTCGCTAAACTCGTGATGTTGATTCTAAATGAGGAGGGAAAAACCGGAGAACGCGGATAAAAATCCACGCAACCACGAGGAGAATATACAAACGCCAAATATACAGGCGTCAGGGTTGGGATCGAACCTACGACCTCCTGTAAATCAGGTGAGGTAGTTAACATCTAATCACCGTGACCTCTCCGGGTTTTTCCCTGTCCCCCCCCCCGACTCCCCTCCCGCCGCCCTCCCCCCACCCTCCCCACCTCTCTTCCCCTCCCTCCCTGCCGGCAGGCGCTGTGCGGGACGAGAGGCTGCTGGACGTCTTCCGCACGGAGTTCATGCTGAAGCTGCTGTGGGGCAGCAAGGGCGCCGAGGTGGCCCAGTCGGAGCGCTACGACAAGTTCGAGCAGATCCTCAACGTCCTCTCCAAGCGCCTCGAGCCGCCCGTCAAGCAGAGCGAGCTCTGAGTCCTCAAGCGGGGGTGCAGCGGGGGGGGCGGGAAGAGGGGGGAGCGGGGTGCAGGAGGTGCTGGCACCAGCAACGCCGGCTACTTCCCGGCTAAAATGCGCCAGGCTCCTACAACAACAACGACTATGATCACAGCTCTTCCACTCACCAACTCTTCCGCTCTTCCACTCTGGAGCCCTTCAACTCTCCCCTGGAAGTGTAAACGGAGCCGCCGTCGCGGAGTCGAGCGTCGAGGTGAGGCGACGGAAGGTGGAACGACGGCAGGCAACGGAATTTTGGATGTTTGTACAGCGAGAGAGAGAGACGGAAACACAGAGAGAGAGAGAGAGACGTGCAGGGTGTGTCCGCAACGGACAGTCCTGCCATCCTGAGGACTCGGACACACACGACCCGGACCGAACGTCACGAGGACCAGACCCGAGGCTTGGTGCAGAGGATAATGAAATGAGGCCTCCCCTTCCACCGCCCCTGCCCCCCCCCCCCGGCACCTGGGCCCCTCTCGTCAATTGTCAACCTGGTGAAGTTGCACCGCCCTGGAGAAATCGCAACATTCGTCAAAGGTCAAGTTCAAAGTCCAAAAAAATCACCCTCTGCTAACATGAGCATAGGGAAGCGCCTATCTGCAGTGGCAGAAATTCCACATTACCTTGCCGGGGAATAGTTTGTCCGGCGCCAGATGGATGATGGGGTGGGATTTTGTGAACTTGTAATGCATTTCCAGTCGAGTGCTTTCAGCCACTGCGGTGATCGATATGAAATTACTCAGCGTCTTGAGTAAGTGGGCACACGTTGGACGCTATAAATACAAATTGCATTGTGTGTGTATATAACATATATAATATATATTCAGTTGGTATTCCAGCCAAGGAAGGGAAGACATCCGAGTGAACGTCCACCGTGGAGATGGAGCAATGAAATTAGTTCCGTGTGCAGGTGCTCGCTGGATTATTAAATCGCAGCAACAGATCGTAAGAGGTGGAGGTGTCTTCGGGAGGCCTTCATCCACCAGTGGATTGAACATGGCTGGTCGTCGATCCACCACACGCATGATTGCTTCTGGGTCGATAAGTATGCAATATTTACTTTTGGGGAAGAAGAAAAAACGAATTTGGGCACCCAGCGAGAAGAGACTGTGATATGGGGAATCATTCACAGAGAATTATTCTCTTTGGCTAAATCTGAGGAGTCCTTTGTGCGTCCTGGCCTGTGCACCGTTGCCACCTCTTGAGGTACAAAAGAACCGGGATATATCGTGGGACAAATCATATCTCACCAAAAACTGGAGGAGGGGAGAACTGCGTGTAAATTGATCGTCTTGAGTGGTAGTTTTATTTCTGATCTGACAAAAAAAATACTTTTAATGTCCTGGGAAGACTTACAGAATTCCCACGACACCCAACAGATTTTCTCAGGCCAGCGACAATCCAGAGAAAACCAGGATGGGTGGCAACCCCTCCTGCTGTGTCTTGGGACCCCGGAACTCTGTATGTGGTGTGGAAGAGTTGAACCATGGGACTCATAAGATAGACGACAAAATCATCGACGCTAATCGAAGCTGCCTGCATTTATTCCATTGCACCTTATTGAGAAACTGGAGAGTCCAGGTCAAGAGGTCAGACGGCCTCGCATTGCAGCAAAGCCTTCTTGTTCTCCTACCCACCGATGCAGAGCGCGTCGCGAAAATGCAAAACGCGCTTCAATGGTGCGCCGTCACTTGCCGAACCGCGACGCCGTGAATTCTGTTTTCATGAATGCGCCGCGTATTTTAAGAATGAGTTTATATAAATAAAAAAAGCGATGTGTTTTTTTTTTATTTCAATTCGAGTGCTTGGTTCACTTTAGTTGGAGCCAGCGGGGCCCAGGGTTTTGCGTTGTGTCATTTTTATTGTGATGGGCGGCCGCGTCAACGCGGACGGTATTTGAAAGATAAAGACGGGAGCACTTGCTCTTGCCTGCCCCTTGCAATGCCTGCACTGCCTTGAGACCGCGAGAGAGCCTGACCCTAAAACAGAAGACCCCAAGGACTCCACCGAGCTGCGAGCGCGGTGAGCTGCCAAGCCATCAGGCGTGTGTCACTGACGACGCCTGGCCGATACAACGCACGCTCTCTGGTGGAACAAGCGGACTGCTCCTACTCCGCTCGGCTGCCACGCCCGGATGCTGCCGTGGAATGGCTCGCGACGTTGGGACAATGTAACGGTTGTTGCCTTTTTTTTTAGTTTCAAGCGCCACGCGACGGCAGAAACGGAGCACCCTGGGAACGGCTGCCACCTTCTGAAATTATTCGGAGGTTGCAGCAGCAGAAACGCAATAGGCCTCGCCTGAAGCCGTCTCGCGTGACTTTGTTTCTGTTCACTTGGCTGTACGCAAGAGGAAGAGCATTGGACGGAGTGTCATCGTATCCGACAGTGGGTGATGTGAGAGTGGTGGAGCGAGATTTGAGATTAGGTGTTGTGAGTGAGATGACAATGATGGTTATTTTTGTAATTAATATTTTTGCCCAGGAGAGCTTCACCGGGGAGGCGATGCTGCCACGTATTTCTCCGTTGAGTAAATGTGGGTTAATTATTCAGGTTTGGCAAATTTAGGACCATCGATATGTTGGCGATGATGTTGACGATGACGTCAGGAGAGCGTTCCAGTGCCCGTGACTATGATGTGCCGAGTTTCTAAATGCTGACAAATTACATTACCATTGGAGTGTCTAATGCGACGGATGTATTCCTGCTAAATGTGGCATTTATTGAAGAATACAATCAAGTTTATTTTTGCCAAAAAGAAAGGTAAAAAAGCAATCAATTGACACGCTAACTTCTATTATTCTGAATTGTTGGGCCAAAATAGCTCATTTTTATTGTCCTGTATTTTTCCACTAAAATATGAAACCGGGTACATCACCTGTTGAATCTTTAAAAAAGTGGCATATATTAGAAAATAAAATTTGAATGGATTATTTTGGCCAAATAATTGAAAAACACTGTCGTCTTTCGTGTACATAAGCCCAAACATTTAAAAATGTTTCCCACTAAAATGTTGAAGAGATGTTATGTATGTACGCTCAATAAAGCATTAACTGTACATATATATCATATTTGAAATTGACACGACCAGTTTTCATATTTTCACCAAACGCGTAAAAACGTCTCCTGTATAGACGGTGATTATACAATGTTTGGAACATTTTGAAACGTTACATTTTGCCAAAACGTGAAAAAAGACGCACTAACCCTACGGTGTTTTCGGTAAAAATGGGCATGGAAATGTTTAAATCTGTATTCTTATAAACATGACGAGAATTAAAGTCCACTGTAAAATAAATCGTGTTACATTGTAGAGTCTCCTTGCTAAATGAGTGCGGAATCCTGGTGCTATGTGGTGTCGCGCGAGTTATTTGACCATACTTAAATACCGGTATTAAGATGTGCAAACACCAAATAGACACCTGTTACAAGACATCGAGTCTGCATTAACCACCGCATACTTGTGTAATGATACTAAAGTCAACCTACGGTGTTAGTGGACTAGTGCCCACGGGAGATAATCACAGGGGAGTCAGCCTGCAGTGCGAATGAACTAGTGGCCACGGGAGGTAATGACAGGGGAGCCAGTCTGCAGTGCGAATGGACTAGTGGCAACGGGAGGTAATGACAGGGGAGTCAGCCTACAGTGGGAATGGACTAGTGGCCGCAGGAGGTAATTCCAGGGGAGTCAGCCTGCAGTGCGAATAGACTAGTGGTCGCGGGAGGTAATGACAGGGGAGTCAGTCTGCAGTGCGAATGGACTGGTGGCTATAGGAATGATCGAGAACAGGAGCATGGCCAGGTGACGAAAGAGGACGGTGGAGTCTGCTGGTAGCGTGAGCGGTCTAGAACCAGCAAGAAGGTTCGGGAATGGGGCGTGGCCTCGGACCGTATATAAGGGAGATGCGCGGGAGACTCGGGGCTGTTGCAGTGGGGGTCTCCGCCTGTCCGAGTGTGAGCACGTGGCCTCTTAACAAAATAAACCATCTCAAGACAAGTACGTCGAAGTCGTCATTGCACTTGTGGCAAAACATGGAGAAAAACATATCCTTCGATGTCATGCATTGTCCTTCAAACTGATTGGCCTAGACTAGAATCACAGCCTATTTTATGGCATTTGTATCACCAGTTCCTGAGAGCAAAATACAAGAACAGAGCACCCTGGTCAGTGCTGGTTGTCGGTGGGGGAAGCAGAGATTTTCTCCGGCTCCCTCCGGCTTTTTCCCCCCTCCACATTTTTAAATTAACATTTGGCTGCTATACATTACCACACGATAAGCCACTTCGTTGAGCTGTAATTTGTGATGGCCTGGTCGCTTCTGAAAAACAGCTACAGAGCTCAGTGGGGCCTTGCCTGGGTGACATGAAAACAATAAGATAAATATCTGGCGGGATCGTAGAAGTGTTGCACTGTACACCTCAACAGTGCTATTTTATGCACTGCCCTCTGCTGCCCATGACGCGTTTATTACACAAAAGCACGCGTGATACGGTGCGCACCTCATTACACACAAAGTGCTTGCCACAGATGAACCACAATCCCTCGCTGATCTCACCGAGGAGCGTAAACCATTATCACGCGGACTCCGCTCGTCCTCGCAACAGCCGCTTTCGGCTGCTAACCGTCGAACAAAGGCGGTGGCCACCGTATCGCGCGGTGCTTTCAGACGCGATTCTCGCAGCCGTCTGGAATGCTCTTCCTTCCGATATTAGAAAGCCACTGGGAGCTCCGCTGCCCTTTTAAATAATCATCATCTAGATTGAAAACTCACTTCTTTCCAACTGCTTTTAGGTGTTTAGTTGTCCTTCCTCCTCACCTCCCATTAGCACATTTGGCTACGTACGGTGTGAAAGAAGTTGAATATACATCACAATTTACAATTCACACGTCCGGTACAGGCGCAGCTCTGCCACTGCTGACGAAAAAAAAGGCCTCCACGAGAGGGAGCTCTCGACGGTGGTTTTGGCCTACTCTTCCACGCTGGCGAGATCTCCTTGAAGAGGCGCGGGTACCCCCACCAAACGCAACTTTCCAATTCGACTGACTTGGTGCTCCCCATGGATATACCGTGCTGCTGGGCGGACGGGGACGGGATGGTGGGATTCAGAAACTTGCACCCTTGTTTCAACTCCCGCACCAGGAAATCGAATCCAACCGGCGACATTCAGACTGCAAGTCAGGTGTGCTGCTAACCAACCAATCGCAAAGCACGGCAGCCCCAAACATGCAAACGACAACAACAAAGTGCGACTGTTTATGCAAAACGTGTTTATTTCATGTACAGCAGCGTTACAATAAAAATCATAACAAAACAAGCATTGTTATTATACGCGCCTGTTTGACACGCGAGTCACGTGCGGGGACAGCCAGGCCAGGGATGGGGCGGGTGGGCCGCGGTGGGATGCACAGGTAACGCGCGGGTTACCTGGCGGTGAGTGGGTGCAGCTGCGTCACAAACAGAACCCCCCCACACCCACCATCCACCCACCATCAACCCCCCTCTCCGGCGACCCAGCCCCCTCCTATCCTGTCGACCCAGCCCCTCCTGTCCTGTCGTCTCTCGGCCCAATCGCCCCATCCACCCGAGGCAAACCGCTTGTGCCCCTGATGACGCCCCATCCGTGATGAAACGCAAGCGGCGGGGTCGATGCTCCATCGTAAACGGGACTATCACAGTCAGGACTACCGCGTGCTTGCGAGCGCACACACACAGGGACTGTGCAGTGTAAAAGTGTGTACTGTGTGTGCAAAGGTACTAAGCACTACGGAGCAGAGTCCGGGGGGGGGGGGGGTTCCTCTCTCCAAAACTGCAGTTGGGGGGGGGGGGTCCAACGTCTCAAAATTAGAACATTACCCGCATGTTAATTACTGTAGCAATCAGAGCCCACTACTGGCAATATGACGCTGATCTACATAAAACTTGTCCGGGGAGCGGTAGTGTAGCGGGTTAGCGCACTGCGCTGCGAACCCAGGTGAGCCGAATTTGAATAGGTTCTGGCCCTCCGCTAGTTCGATTTGGCCTCAAATGTGCATCTGGTGCGTTGCGGGGGGGGGGGGGGGGCTAGACACCCCCCCCCCCGTGTGCTGTGCTGGCCTTCATAGGTGCTACTCGCCAACAGCGCTTGGCCCAACAGTCTGTGACGGCGACACGTATACGCACCATCTACAGCAAAGCCGCGCTTCCATTTGAATGGAGGCGCGTTTGGTAAACAGCGGAGAGTTTGTCCCCGGCAAACGTGGAACTGCTGGGCCCACATTCGTGCAATTGTTGCGAGCCGCGTGCCAACAACGTAGGCCCCAACATTGTCCGTTCGAAGGAGAGCAGGCGGGGGGGGGGAGGCAGCGGGAGCACTGGGGTTTGGCGAAACTCCCCGCTCACTCGAGGGCAAGTCGCCGCAACATACGTCGTCGTCAGCAGGGCCTAACAGCTACGCGCACAATAAGCCGACTTTGCAACAGCAGCAACAACAAACGCAGCTCCGCAAACGAGACCCCCCCCTCCCTCGGCTGGGTGAAGCGAGCGAGGTGCCTGCATTGACAAAAGCGACAATAAGTTACCGCGCGCGCCGACACGCCAGAGGGCCGCGTCGGTCGCGCGTCCGCGTGGCGATTGCGAGCGCTAGGACAACAAACTCCCGTGAACTGTGCAAGCTGTTAAGTTTAAAATATATATATACTTTAAACAAATAAAACCGACAAACGTAACAATAAGAAAACCGGCCGATAGCTTGTGTGTGTTTTTTTTTGCGTGTTTGTTCGTTACGACTAAATAGCGTCGGTGACGGTGAGCAAAGATGCTAAACCCACAGTCGGACACGACGCTGGATCGTAGCGCATTGTCGATGAATCTATTATTGATCGCGAACGCCTTCGCGATACCCGCCTGTCACACAAGCACGTGTGTCCCGTCGGCGCCCTGCTTGCAAGTTTTCCTCTAAAACGTTACCTGGCGCCGTACGACATCCTAGCCTCTGATCGTGACGACGTCCCAACATGCCCCGTGGAATCTGTGATTCTCAATCGGTTCCATCCATCCAAGTGGCGGTAACTGTGGCTGACGTTCCCCACTTCGAAAAAAAACCAACACAATTCTCCGATCCAGAGACAAATAATAATATATATTAAAAACAAAAAAGTTTAACGGAAAATAAATTGTGCATTAAAAAACTACCGGCAAAGTTTTTTTGTGGTTTTTTACATGTACACATTAAAATGAAAACACGCGTGGCAACTAATGTGCAGCGGAAAATTGCACGCAGGGACGGACCGGACATTCAGATGAGCGAGTGGGATCGGGGGTGGGGACGGGGCACAACCTTTCATTCTTACCGCGGGCCGCATCGGATCGCACTCTCAGATCCAAATGGCCGCGGGCAACCACACGTCAACAGACATACTAACGCACACACGCACAACGACATACTAACGCACACACACACAGACATACTAACGCACACACACACAGACACACGAACACACACGTCAACACACAGACATATTAACGCACACGCACACAGACATACGAACACACACACACACAGACATACGAACACACACACACAGACACACAAACACACACGTCAACACACAGACATACTAACGCACACACGCACATAGACATACTAACGCACACACGCACACAGACATACTAACGCACACACACACACAGACACACAAATGCACACGTCAACACACAGACATACGAACGCACACACGCACACAGACATACGAACACACACGTCAACACACAGACATTCTAATGCACACACACACGCACGCAGCTCGACCAACTTCTGTCACTGCGAGAGGCACTTGCAGTGAGTGAAGTGACTGAGCGTGGCACTGACACTAGGAACGCTGTTGTTGGTTGCCAGGTCAAAAACGTTCCCCTCTAGTACCCGATCGGTGAGACTAACATGCTTGCACTTGCAGTGATGGATAGATATTGTTCGTGGGCCCGTGTCAAAAGTAGTACGCCTCATGTCGTCACGGGCAGAGATGGGTTAAACACATTCAAACTACCGTACTGCGGTATTGTAACATGGGTACTAATGACCAATATATAGATACAAATCACCAATTTCTCTGATAGCAATTACAAATTGTAATTAAATTGCATGCAATTAAGAGACTTCCCATCTCTGTCGGGAGGTTTCCCCACTGCCCGCACAGACAGGCACAATGCGGTCACTCCGCATCCACGCTCTGCGCGGACCCCAACGCGAAGAACGAGCGGCAAACGGTGACGCCGCGTCAGCACGGCGGCGGCGCCGTCTAAGTCTACGGATTGGCGATCCGTCCTGCGTGCACAGAGGTCTCACCCCGCAGGGTCACGGGGGCCTCCGCGTCCACCGACAGAAGGTGAACACCGGGGGCGGGTGGTCATTCTCGATACAACGGAAAGACGGGCAAACGCACATACGTTAACTTCTTTCGCTACCGTACGTAGCCAACCGCGCTCAATCGGAGGTGCGGGAAAACAAAACGACGACGTCGATCCTCGCTAACCAACTCTAAGCAGCGACGACGGTGGGCGCTTCGAAAGGCAACGGCGAGGCAGACGGCAGCGTCGTACGTGCGTCCGCGCCGAACTCCTTTCGCACCGCGTGTAGCCAACCACTGCCAGGCGGGCGACGTGTCCGGCCTGCCCGCCCCAACGCGACGCAAGCGCAGGGGGGAGGGGTCGGTGGGATGACAGTCGCCGGTGCCCAGAAGGAAGTCGAGAGCTGGCGGGCCCGACCCGGTGTCACCCGGAATGCGTCCCAAACCCCAAACCCCGCGGCCCGTTCAGGGCGACGCGAGACGTCCGGCGCGATTCGTTTCCGCCGCCGCGGTAAATGTTCAAGATGGGGGGGGGGGGGGAGGCCGTGTCGTCATGCTGGCTGACGGCGCGACGAAGAGCTAAGTCAAAACACGCGCCAGGCGTTCCGTGGGACCCGCACACGGCGAGAGAGAGAGAGAGAGGAAAACGCTCGGTTTTTTTTTTATTCTCCACGCGATTTCTTCAAGGAACGCAGAGCTGTTGCGCACGCTTGTCCATCCTCGTCACCCCGGTCTATCTAATAGACGGTTTTTACTAATTTGCCGCGTCAGCGTTTGACGGTCAAGTTGGCCGAGTAGTAGCAGTGGAGTTATTACAAAATAATAACGATGACATTAAATACGTTCACAGGAACGGATAGGCCAGGCTGTGATGAATGTAGCGAGCCAGGCATTTTTTACGAAATGCTAAGACTCGCTCGCTCGCTCTCTCCGTCTTCTCTGCGCGAAGGAAGAGATTAAAAAAACCACACTGTCCAAACGGGTCACTCGTAACACACACGGTCAAAAACACCCCCAACAATTCGGTCTGACTCGCACCGACGACCATAGGTGCAACTCCGCGATGCCTTTTCCGGGTATTCCGCCGTGTGTTTGCGCTCCACGTCATGAGGGCTTCTCCGGGCACCGAAAAAATTCGCAGCACGTGGAGCGAAACGTCGGACCTCGTCCCTAAACGGCACATGGCGGCATTACCCGAAATCACGTCGCAGAGAGCCGTGACAACACAACCGCCAAAACCTACGCAGCCGACGATTACCGATCATTTCTAGTTTCACCGGTGGCTGTATAAGCTGAATGGGTAGTGGTCACATTTCTTCCAAGTCCGATCCTAACAAGATACAAATGTATCTTTTGGACCGCGGCTGTCCTCACCGTGAGCCCGCACTCAAAGAGTCAAGTCACGGGCACGTCGGACCGCGCCACCGGGAATTTACCGCGACGACATAAATCCCCGGGACCTCAACGGGATTATTTTACGACCGTCTGCAATGAACCAGGCAGCAGGAATATTTCTGGGAGGGAGCTTGTAACAGTCGCCTTAATAGGGGGGGAGGGGGGGGGGTCAGAAGATTTTCGTGTTATCAGCCATCCTGACGCAAACGGATAACGGGCAACTGCGATTGGCTGCCGCAGGTGACGTCAAAACATGTTGGTGCCCAAAATATTTTGGACCGAAAGCGCAACGGAAGAACCGAACAACTTGCACTGTCGTGACTTTTAGTTATTTATTCATGCTGCTGTATAAAAAAAAAATGTTGGACGCATGAGCCAGCTGAAATCTATTTCCAGTGATTCGCTCACCTTTCCTATACTTTGCACTCCCATCGTGTTCTTCAATTGTTTCGTTGCCGCAACGTTCTGACCGGCCCCTACTGGACATGTAAAAAAAAAAAAGAGCTTCGTAGCTCATCGGATTTCTCCAGTCTAAATAAATATTCTGATTCTGGTCGGGTTTTAGCTTCACAGTTTGCTTCCGTGGCGAAGTAGCGGGAGCACAGCATGCGAGCGCCGCGCTCCTCTCAAAAGACGTCGGCGCGACTGAGCGCCGAGCGCGGTTCAGCCTCCGGACAAAAGGGAAACGCGCGCACAATGGCGTTAACATGACGTCACAAAAGGCAGTCTCAAGTCGAGGGTTCATATTCACAGAATGCAGAACTTCAGCGACGGCAACGGAGAATGTTTCACGATATATATCTAAAAAAAAAAAAGGAATTAACTTTGGGTGAAGAGGCTTGACGAACGACTTGAAGGGCAAGAATGTGGAGGAGAAAAATTAACTCGCGGCAAAACAAAGACCCCTACCCCCCCCCCCCCCATGAAGAAACAAGGAACTAATAAAAGAGAGGTTGGTCGACCAGATTCGCAAGTCACGGATGGTAACGCAGAGAACAACTCCCAATGGACAATATGGCAACGTATTAATTTCAAACCGAAGTACATTTTTGACCGGGTGGGTTGTTTATTTAAAACCCAAGTCACCATCCCAGGTTATTGCTGGAAAACCGCAAGAGGCCTGAACATCTCCCTCCCCCTGCCACCATCGTCTCCGCCAAAGTGCAGAACGGTACTTGCTTGCAAACCAATTTAAACGTTCAAAACATTTAAACGCAAAAATCCGGCCGCATAATAAAAACTTTACAAACTGTTTGCAAACGGTTTCCAAAGAGAACGCCGCCAGAGTGTGGTGGTGGGGCGAGGAGGATTGTGGAGTGGAGGGGGAGGCGCGGGAGGCGGGGGGGGGGCGGATCTTACACAGTGCACACACGATTCCGTTTCGATTTCTGAAAAGGTCAGCTGGACAACAACAGCAGCCACTGGCAGTGTCGTTCATGGGGGGGGGGGGGGAAGTGGGGGGGGGGGTGGATGTGCCCCCACCCTCTCCACCTTCAAACTTGACCGGAAGTATTACATCTGACACTGTGATATCGAAGTGCGGAAGGTGGGGGGGGGGGGGGGACAAAGACCCCCAAAGCACGGGGTCCGGGGCAGTCGCCGCGATTCGCCGTGTACCCTAGGGACGGCTCTGGGCGCAGCCCTCTCACTCGTCGTCCCACATTGTCGGTAGCAAACAGGAGACGGCCGTTACGGGGAGCGTGCGGGCGGGCGGGCGGGCCAGAATTGCGACATTCTATTTCCGAATTTGGCAACAACAACAACAACAACAAAAATCGGAGCCTCGTACAAGGGCCCCACCGAGAGCCGGACACACTGTCCCCCCGCGGCCGCCTGCTCATCCCCGCTTGGGAGCTCCTCTCCCCGAGACGGAAGTGGTGGGGGAGGGGGGGTGCGGGGAGACCCCCCCTTATGAACCTGGATGCGGCGTGGGAGGGAGAGGTGCGGGGCAACACAAGAGGGAGAGGAGGAGGGGGGAGGAAGGAGGCTTTAGTGGAGAGGCGTGGCTGCTCAGAGCACGTCACGTCCACCGCGCGCCGACGTACCGGGGGGGGGGGGGGGGGTGTGTGGGGGTGGAGGGGAAACAACAGGAACAGCGGTGTGCACGTGGAGAAAGGACGACGGTGATGACGATCCTGCTCGCTTAGTCAACGGTTAAATCTACAATGTGGGTTTTCCCCCCAAACCCCGTGTGGGGGGAGATGCGCATTCTCCTGTTTGCAGCTCATGAGTGCCAGCGGTGGATATGTATTGTTCCTGTGGCAGGGCCGAGTCTATCCGTAGGACGCAACCACTGGTGACTTATCACAAAGACGGAACTTGATTTCTTGATTTAGTGACCCGCCCGGAGAAAAAAGTAGCCGAGTCGGCTGCCCCCGAACAGGGACTGGAACTCGGGACCGTGTGATTGCGAGCCGTGTGCTCAGACCACTGTGCAACGATGTCCGATCAGTGACTTGGTATTCCTGTACCATACTAGCGGCAGGCACTTACTCGAATCGTTGGCCTGCTTTCCAACGGCTTTAGTGTCACACCCCATGGGTGGCATATTACTTGGTTCACTGGCAATCAACCTCTAGGCCATCGTTTTTTTTTTTGGGGGGGGGGGTTGGAAAAATTCAGAATGTCGCTTTCATATTTCTACAGCTGTAATCGTCGACTCGAACGAGTCGGCTCTCCAAGCCCTTCTTGAACACGGTTTTAATCAATAAACAAGTCGCATAAAGAGACTGTGTTCATAAGTTACATTCGCTTAAGACTGATTAAGGCAGAGCGCCAGACAGGATATAAATTGGTCAGGACAGGCTGCTTGAGCTGCAATTCCAGGAGTACAGGGGCCAAGGGTGAAACGACGAAGCCAGATGGAACACACCGGGAGGCCACACAGGAAGGGAGGTTGGGGGCAAAACAGAGACAAAGATTGCCCGTGTAGCCTGCACAGACTGTTGGGGCAGGTGCTGTTAGCGAGCACCTATGAAGGGCGGCACGGCACACGAGGGGGTGGGTGGCCAGCACCACGCCCTTTCCGTTTAACCCTGACACCACTGGAGGCTAAAATGTCAAAAACAACTACAACGCCAAAAGGACTAGTTCGGAAAAGTTATGCCAAAACGTGGATTATGAATGTATCTTCGTTAATATTTAATGAACAGCACAAAAGCCAGAGAGCGGGTAGGTATCAAGGCAATACCGTACACGATCACCTATTTACATAGAGGTCAATATTGTTTTGGCTTGTGTCTCCAAGATTTAAAAAAGGTCCTTTGATGAACGTGGCTCGCTTTCAATCGGCTGACTCTCAAACAACATGGCTTCACGTATGCTGAACTTCTCCGACAGATGGGTTCACATTATTGGTTCTTTCGGTAAAGTCACGTAGAAGGGAAACAATAAAATAATAAAAATATAAAACAAAAAATATAAAACAATAAAATTTTAAATAAAATTGTATTGTTTTATATTTTATTATTAAATTGTTACCCTTTTAGGTGACTTTACAAAAAGAACCAATAATATGAATCCCTGCAGTCACGAAAGCTTTAAATCAAGATTGGTTCACGTTGAATCACCTTCACGAGAGTAATCGTGCCACCCCTACCTGCCTCCCCGCCCTTCCTTTATGGATGGAAGTCTCCTGAACTGAATCGCAACCCTTCCTCCGCCTTTGCGATTAAACAATCGTGACAATAGCACCACGAGGTTGGGGTGACAATCGAGCAGCGTGAACCTAGTCCAGAGATGGGCAACCTGCGCCTCCAGAGCCGCATGCTGGCGGCTCTTTAAGGACTGCCGCTCCGTGACGACATTTATTAAGAACCACCGTCTCTTATTCACATGCATTGTGCGGCCCAGGCGCGAGACTTGGGCCTAGATGTGGGGTGCCACGGTGGCGAGATGTTAACTGCCTCGCCTGGTATGCAGGAGATCGTGGGTTCCATTCCGACCGCGACACCTGTATATATGGAGCTTGCGTGTGTCCCTCCCTGTGGTCGAGTGTTTTTTTTTTCTCCGGGTCCTCCGGTTTTCCCCTCCACATTTAGATATACGCGTTTAGAGTATTTGGCTGCTATAAATTTCCACATAAGCCACTTTGTTGAGCCATCATTTGTGGCCAGGTCGCTTCTGAAAAAATGATTTTTGTTTTGTTTTAGATGTAGGTGCAGGCACGCAGCTGCACTCCGCACGCAGCACCTGGTTTGGCGGCTGCTGCTGCTGCGACGGGATCGAGCGTGACCTCCAGGTAGGACGTGGGCACGTAGCCCTCCTCTCCGTTGGCTCTCCGGACCCTCGTCCACCCGTCGCCCTTGTCCTCCTCCACGAGCTGGAAGAGCTCCTCCTCCGCGATGGCGATGGTGCCCTCGCTGTTGCCTGGCAGTCGCGAGCGGAATCAGAATATTTATTTACACTCGAGGAATCCGAAGTGCCATACAAGCTCTTTTTCTCAGATGTCCAGTAGGGGCGGGTCAGAAAGTTACAAAGGAGACAACGGGGAGGTGAAGGAGGTGGCCAAGATTGACGATGGTGGAAGCATCCCATGGCTCTGTTTCCTGAATGGTGGGAAACAAATCATTGCAGTTAGAATTGCTCTGACAGACCAGAGACTGTTTGTGCCAGTTAAAAGGGTAAAACCTATTCCTATATCCTAGACCAGAGACTGGTCCTGTCATTAAAGACCAGATACTGGTCCTGCCATTAAAGACCAGATACTGGTCCTGCCATTAAAGACCAGATACTGGTCCTGCCATTAAAGACCAGAGACTGGTCCTGCCATTAAATATCAGATACTGGTCCTGCCATTAAAGACCAGATACTGGTCCTGCCATTAAAGACCAGAGACTGGTCCTGCCATTAAATATCAGATACTGGTCCTGCCATTAAAGACCAGAGACTGGTCCTGCCATTAAAGACCAGAGACTGGTCCTGCCATTAAAGACCAGATACTGGTCCTGCCATTAAAGACCAGAGACTGGTCCTGCCATTAAAGACCAGATACTGGTCCTGCCATTAAAGACCAGATACTGGTCCTGCCATTAAAGACCAGATACTGCTCCTGCCATTAACGACCAGATACTGCTCCTGCCATGAAAGATCAGATAGTAGTCTGTCAGTAAAAGTAACATGCACTGATTAAAATAGTTCATCTTCAGGTGGACTGCTATTTTCAGTTTCATGAGGGTGCATGTTTGTGATTATGAGACACACAAAGGGAAACACGTGGATTAGAGAACATACACAGGTATTAGACATCAGATCGATTAAGGACAGCAGAGGGGGCATGGGTAGGACATGTTGGGTTGGTGGATCACACACAGATGGGGTGTGCAACTCCCTTCCCGTGGGCGTCACGGAGGTGCCCGTACTCTGGCTCTGCCACGAGAAAGTGGCACAGCAAAGAAATGTGGACTCCACCTGTTCCGTCTGTACGGGATAGGGTGTTGCCCCCTCGCACGCGTCGGATTTCTCCGGGTGCTCCGGTTTCCTCCCACGTGTAATTGGCCAATAACACCTTCAACGTGGAGAACCGCGGAGCTTGGGAAATTGTTGGCGCTTGTTCATTGCTGCGGATGCCTTCCCCGCTTGTCTGTTGATTCCTCGCACCTCTAAATCATTCTCTCTCTGCAAGAGCGAAACCTGCTGCTGCGGTGGTGGCGGCGCGTTAAAAACAAATCAAAATCGTTGGAAGAAGACGATGGCCGGCGGCCGAGTCCACACGACGGATTGGTTACTAAAGGAGAGGCGCACGCCGGAGAAGAGAACATGGAACAAGAGCCAGGAGTTTAGCCCACGAGCAGCCTCATCTCGCCGGGATGAGTGGCGGCCAGTTGCAAAGGACGGCGGTGCAGGGAACACTGGAAGGTGTTCTGGGAATAGCAGGGCCACGGACCTGACTGGGACGTCAAACGCCAAACAGCGCACCGGTGCGGAAACCATCTCGACTCAGGCGACGGGCACGGCCACAGGGAAATGGGGCGGCACCGCAAGGGGACTCGATGGACATGAAGGATCCATCCTCACCGTCGAAGGGGTACAGCGCCTTGCATCGTCCGAGCACGGGCAGCGGCTCCTCGTCCTCAAAGTCGTCGTCGTCAAAGTCCCCGCCGGAGTCGACCTGCGCCGCGGTCGTGGCGGTGGTGCCGCCGCCGCCGCCGTGGGCGGGGGCCACCGCCGCCGCCGGGTCGGGCTGGCGCGGCGCGGGGGGCGCCGGCGTGCCCTCCGGGGGGGCCTCCTCCGTGTAGCTGCCGTCCGGACTGCTCGTGTGGGGAGGGGGCCCGAGAGCGGACACTATAGCACAGCGGCGACGGCGGCGCAACCGCAGCACGGCACAACCAGAGTGCGGCGCTCGGTGAGAAAGAAGTCGCTCGCTCCTGCTGCGCCGCCCGTGCTGCTGTGTGTGCTGTGTGTGCTGCTGTATGGGCTGCTGTATGGGCTGCTGTGTGTGCTGTGTGTGCTGTGTGTGTGCTGCTGTATGGGCTGCTGTGTGTGCTGCTGTGTGTGCTGCTGTGTGTGTGCTGCTGTGTGTGCTGTGTGTGCTGCTGTGTGTGCTGTGTGTGCTGTGTGTGCTGCTGTGTATGCTGTGTGTGCTGCTGTGTGGGCTGCTGTGTGGGCTGCTGTGTGTGCTGTGTGTGTGCTGCTGTGTGTGCTGCTGCTGTGTGGGCTGCTGCTGTGTGTGCTGCTGTGTGTGCTGTGTGTGTGCTGCTGTGTGTGCTGCTGCTGTGTGGGCTGCTGCTGTGTGTGCTGCTGTGTGTGCTGTGTGTGTGCTGCTGTGTGTGCTGCTGCTGTGTGGGCTGCTGCTGTGTGTGCTGCTGTGTGTGCTGCTGTGTGTGCTGCTGTGTGGGCTGCTGTGTAGGCTGTGTGTGCTGTGTGTGCTGCTGTATGTGCTGCTGTGTGGGCTGCTGTGTGGGCTGCTGTGTAGGCTGCTGTGTAGGCTGCTGTGTGTGCTGTGTGTGCTGCTGTGTGTGCTGCTGTGTGTGCTGCTGTGTGCTGCTGCTGTGTGTGCTGCTGTGTGTGCTGTGTGTGCTGCTGTGTGTGCTGCTGTGTGTGCTGTGTGTGCTGCTGTGTGTGTTGCTGTCTGGTGGGGAGCGGTGGTTTGGCGGTTAGCGCTATGCTGCGCTAGGAACCCGGCGACCCGGGTTTGATTCCTGCTCACGGCCAACACCGGTGACGATTATCTGAACCGGTCCTGGGCCTCCCTTAGGTCGACTCAGCCTAAAATGAGTACCCTGTGCGATACTCTTTGGTTCTTTCGGTAAAGTCACGTAGGTATAAAAATAAAATAAATTAAATCACGACGTTTCGGGCGCAACGCAAGCGTCCGTCATCAGGTGTCACAACCACAGCAAGAAACAATTGCTGAAGTGGGCAAAAGGGCTGCTTGTATCAAGAGCCTATATAGGTAAGAGAGGGAGGGCGATGTGTAAACATTGCTACTGGGGAGACAAAGGCGGCCAGGCATGGTGCTGGCCACCCATCGCCCCGTGTGCCACAGTGCTGGCCTTCATAGTTGCTACTCGCTAACAGCACTTTGCCCAACACTCTGTCAAGGTTATACGGGAGATCTTTGTCTTTGCCGAGAGGAGGCTGTGAGTAGGGGGAGGGTGACACACAAATTGAATACCCGTCACTAGGGTCGTGGCCAGCAGTCACAAATAGATTTACCCCCTGCTCCTCTCCCTCCCATTGCGATTAGACGCATTATTGTTGTGACGACGTGATAATGTCACATTTAGGTAGAGAAGACATTTGTACATTTTTAAACACGACAAAAGTGGAAACGTTGCGTGAAATCGCAGCCCTGCCGAAATCCCACGCGCTCACACGGGCGTGGTGACACTCACCACTGCCATCTCCTGGCCACACGCCTACAACAACACCTGGCAAGCCCTGGTGGCCACCCATCCAAGCACCATAACCAGGCTCAAACCCCTGCTGATTACCATCCGCGTTACGATGAGATCGGGGCGCGTGCAGGGAGGTTTGCGTGTAGGCCCATAGATGGCCACCAGAGGGCAGATGCAGATAAAGTGGACGAAAGCGCGACCCGATGCAAGCCAGGCGTGCCAAATCGAGGCAACGAATAAAGGAGTGGCCTGAACCGCGCCAACAATCCCAGTCACGTATCTATCCATCTGTCGAGGAAAGCCACAACGAGTCTCAGGAATGCTTTTTGAGGAGGGCCCTGCACTGGAATGTTTGGCCAATTCCACGTGAACGAGTGATCTGACTTCGTGTGGGGAGCGGTGGTGTAGCAGTTAGCGCTACGCTGCGCTACCAACTTGGCAACCCGCGTTCAATTCCCGCTCACGGCCAACACCAGTGACGATTATCTGAACCGGTCCTGGGCCTCCCCTAGGTCGACTCAGCTTCAAATGAGTACCTGGTGTGATGTGTAAACATCGCCACTAGGGAGACAAAGGCGGCCGGGCGTGGTGTTACCCACTCCCTCGTGTGCTCGCTAACAGCACTTGCCCCCAAACAGTCCGTTTAGGCTATACGGGGGATCTTTGTCTTTGGTTGTTTACTTCGTGTGGCAAGTCGAGAGAAAAACGCCCACTGCGGACGCACTTAAAGGGCCCCACGCGGAGAAGGCTCAAGACTCCCGCTTGCTGTGCCGCTGTCTCTCGGGCCACCACCTCACAGCCCCGTTTGGTTTGGACGTCGCCCGAATCTCGACGTGGCCCACCAGCCCACGAAGCGCCCCCCGGGTCTCAGGCCTGCTGCTGCGCCATGCACGCCCAAACGAAGGGCATCAGCCTTTGTGTTATTTATTACGAGGAGCACGTAGCCCACTCTATACAAATCAATGGAAAATGTTTTAATGAAAGCTGCCCACCCATATTCAACTGAGTGCGTACAACAACGACGGCATGCCCAGCAGCAGGAGGCACACGCATGCAAGTACTGTACAGAGGACAACACAGACAAAGATCCCCCGTATAGCCTGCACATACTGTTGGGTCAAGTGCTGTTAGGGGGCACACGAGTGGGGGGGCAGCACTACGCCACTACTGCCACCCACACTTTTCCCCGCCAGGATTCCACAGTAACAAAGCCTTTTTTGAACGCATATTGTAGGATGAGAGGGAGGCAATAAAACATGTAAAACAGCATTCCTCGACGTGATTCAGACCAATAAAACTCATGCTTCGTCTACACCTACACGTAGAATGGCTTGTGTACACACTGCAACAGCCCCAATGTCAATTCACTGTTGGACAAGAACCTCCTGCAGGCGTGTCGCTGACCATACTTCACCGCACTTCTCAGCGCGGTTGGCAAAAGTTAGCGGAGGGCAGCACCGACTTCAGGAGCCACTTGCCACTGATGTGATTATCGGTGAGCGTGAATCGAACATCAAGGTGGCCAGGTTCATAGTGCACTGCGTGCGTCGCTGCACCACCGCTCCCCACGGACAATTCAACTGCGGCAAAATGTTGAGATTAACATCGAGTCCACGTGGGACGCAGCAGCATCTCTCTCAAGATGGCGTACGGCAACGGTGGGCATGTGATTACTTTAGACGGAGATGCAGTCAGTCACAGACAGAGGAGTAAAGCCTTAAACCTTACACAGAGACAAAGGTTCACCTTTAGAAACTGGTGGGGGCAAGTTCTGTTAACCCGATCACCTATTATGGATGGAATCGCACACGAGGGGGTTATGTAGGCAATGCCAAGCCCGGCTGCCTTCGTCTCCCCAGTGGTCATGTTTACACACCGAACCAGGTACTCATTTAAGGCTGAGTCGACCTAGGGGAGTTCCAAGACCGGTTCAGATACGACTCACGTCACCGACGTTAGCCACGGCCGGGAGTGGGACTCGGGTCGCCGGGTCCGTCGTGCGGAGCGGTTCTCTTCCCTCTCACTGGGCCTCACACACGTGCACAGTACACAGACAAAGAACCCCCTTACAGCCGTAACAGACTGTTGGGGCAAGTGCTGTGAGCGAGTACCACCTATGAAGGCCGGCACGGCACACAAGGGGGTGGGTGGCCAGCACCATGCTCGGCCAGTCATCTCCTCCAGTGGCGATGATCACACACCGCACCAGCTACTCATTTAAGACTGAGTCGATCTAGGGGAGGCCCAGGACCGGTTCAGATAATCGTCGCTGGTGTTGGCCGTGAGCGGGAATTGCTGGGTTCTTAGCACTACACTACAGCTCTACACATGCACCGCAGGCACACAAGACAAAGACCCCCGTATAGCCTGTAACACTGTTGGCACAAGTGCCGTTAGCGAGTAACACTTATGAAGGCGGGCACCGCACACGATGGAGTGGGTGGCCAGCACTACGCTTGGACGCCTTTGTCTACCTTAGTGGCGATGTTTACACTCCACACCAGCTACTCATTAAAGGCTGAGACGACCTAGGAGATGCCCAGGACCGGTTCCGATAAGAATCATTGCTGGTGTTGGCCGTGAGCGGGAATCGCCGGGTTCTTAGCGCTGCACTACCGCAGGACAAACACACACACAAGCACATAGTAACTTACAAACTTACACACACCCTGTAATGAAACCACAGCATTGCTGACTCCATGAGTCAATGGCACAAACACATCCTGTCCCACCTGCCTCCAAACACATCGGCATTCGCCGCATGAGGCTGGGCAACTGTGGGTGTCCAGGCCCCCCCCCCCCACCACCTGAGAAAAATCCCATGACTAAATCACCCGGAATCCACCCCATCTACCCATATCTCAGAATACTAAGCAGGAGGTTGAGCCCGGACAGAATCAAAAATATGCATATGTCCTGGAGAAATCCGATGAGCTAGGAAGCTCTTTTTCACAGATGTCCAGCACAGTCGGTATAGTGCTTCGTTGGTCAACTCCAGATGACCGCATTTCCCCTACTTATATCGTGAGATGCGGTCTTATTTATACGATTTATAACTCCCAATTGCATTGCACTGCACTCGTGCAGACCCTGCAAAATTTAAATCGGACGGTCAGCATTTACCGACACAGCCGCTGACCTCGTCCACACCACTCACGCTGAGCAAGCACAGCCGCTGCTGCTGTCGGTGCTGCTGCAATTAACAATCATCGAGTGAGCCCCGGGAAACACTTAGGGGCCGGTGATTGCCGAGCACGGTGCAGAGGGGAGTGTAACCAGCGCGGTGAATTTTCCGTCGCAAGACAAGGCCGTCTCTGTTCGCCGCCTCGCGCCTCTCTCCCTGTCGCTCGCGAGCAGCGAGCGGGGGCGGCCCCCCTCCCCCACCCCCCCCCCCCCCCCCCCGGGGGCAATGGGCAGAATCCGAGAGGCACGCGGAGCTGAAGGCCGGATCGCTCTCCCGCCTTCTCTTTCAACAACGGCATCATCGCGAGTCCTCGGGTGAGCCGCCGCTCGCGAGCCAGCCTCCTCCCTGCCAGTCCCACCATGCTCGGTGAAGCACGCTCCACGGCTATGGTTAGGACTACGGCCGTTGATTAAAAAGCAAAGAGACAGGAAATGCCCAGGCACCGCATCGCGGCGACCTTTGACCCCCCACCACTCTCCCCGCACTCCGCCACCCTCCGAGCGACACACCCCCTGTTAATCACGCTCTTTCTTTCTGGAACGTGCAACAGTTTAAAGTGAATCTCGTGTTCAAAATGTCATAACTACAGGGACCGCAAGCTGCCTCTGGCAACAATTTGACGTGCCCCGGAGCAAACGGCATACAGCCAACGGAAATAAATCGGTGCCAGGGTTAAGGAGGAGCGTTGCTTTGAGGCCGAGCAGGAGGAGTCGGTCCGCCAACTATCGGGCAAAGCCAGCAAATGGCTCAGCCACTTACATCTCTAATCCCAGCTCCTCACGGCCCACACGAACGGAGGGGAAGGGGGATCCCGTAAATATGTGTCGTCAAACCCGCCACCACCTGACACAGCCAATTAGTGAGGTTTGTCACGTTAAAAAAAAAAGTGCCAATTAGTTACTGCTGCAGCACACCGGCCGTGAAAGCACACGTGCTAAACCGTTGATGGTGATATTTGAAAGTGGGTGAGAGAAGGGCGTCGGGGCGATATTTTCTCAAACTGGTTTGGCCCGCGGACGAACCAGCCTCAACTCATGCCCCGGCCTCCAAGTTGTCCTGATGTAGGGCACACTCACTGGACTGCCTGCCTATGAAGTACATCGAGTCACACGAATAGAGAGCTTTTAGCAGTTGATTTGAATGAGGGTTTTTCTTGTCGATGCAAAGATTTCTGCGGACCAGCCAGCTCCCCCCCCCCCCCCCCCCCCTTACCGCTGGGTGACAAAAGACATTCTCACTTTGCTCTAAATACCACGAATACTAAATTATTAATATTACCTGAACACATATAAACACACATCTTTTAATACAGCTAGAAGTTTTATATATTTTCTTGTTAGCGGGTGCATTTAGATCTTAGGGGTTCGGCTAGTTTAATCACGGTAGTTTACCCAATTTAATTGTTTTATATTCTTGGTTCTTTCGGTAAAGTCACATAGAAGGGAAACAATAAAATAATAAAAATATATATAAAACAATAAAAAATATCACGCCGTTTCGACTGCAACACAAGCAATCATCATCAGGTGTGAAAAACCACAACAAGAAATTTTGAAAAAAGTGGCGGGTTTTTTTTAACGTTAGCACCACGGATAGCGATTTGACAGTTTGTTCAGATGGACGAGTCCATCTCTGTTCGGAAAAGAGGAGGGGGGAGACGAAAAATAATGGATGCGGTCTGAAAGCCACCTTAAGCGTGATCAATCAATTAAGGTGGCTTTCAGACCGCATCCATTATTTTTCGTCTCCCCCCTCCTCTTTTCCGAACATTGATGGACTCGTCCATCTGAACAAACTGTCAAATCGCTATCCGTGGTGCTAACGTAAAAAAACTCCACTTTTTTCAAATTTTCTTGTTGTGGTTTTCACACCTGATGATAATTGCTTGTGTTGCAGTCGAAACGTCGTGAGAATTTTATTGTTTTATATTTTTATTATTTTATTGTTTCCCTTCTACGTAACTTTACCGAAAGAACCAAGAATATGAATCCCTGCAGTCACGAAAGCTTTAAATCAAAATTGAATTGTTTTAATTAAATATCACGAGTAAAATATTAATTCACGTCCGCAACAAAAGGGTGTAAACTTTGTCATTTCTGTCGGGGTCAAGCTGCGCTTGCACCACAGCCACCGCGGACCACCTGGAGGAAAGTCGCGGACCACCTTCTGAGAACCACTGGCAGGGGTCGAAGGTACGACTGGTAAATGTGATTGCAGTCAGGTTCCCTCCAGGGCCTTGCCGGAACACTGAGATAAATCACCGATTTAAATGCTGACTATAAACGGGAAGGGGAGGGGCGAGGGTTTCACACACATGCGGTGAGCCGTGTGTACGTTAGTTGGAGGTGGCTCAAAGCCACTTCCTATTTCCGTGGAAATTAATCTACGTGAAGCAGAGCTGCCAGCTTCCACCGAGGCTGCAGAGCGAGTGCGATAACCTGCGTCAGCGCACATTTCACACGTGATAAAAAACGTACTCTAGCAAACACCTGCGTTTGAATGTGTTTTTATCATTGTTATGGGTGCTCTGTGAGACGTGGCGCTTTAGTCAAGTCACGGGCGGAGGAAGAGGTGGATAGCATCTAGCCTGCCACCTACTCACTCGCCACCACACCACCTACTCACCACTCCACCTACTCACCACACCACCTACTCACCACACCATCAGCTCACCATGCCACCTACTCATCACTAAACTCAGTCACCCTGCTACCTACTCACGACTCCACCTACTCACCCCACTAGTCCACCTACTCACCACTTCCACCTACTCACCGTGTATTGTGCCCATAATTCAACACATTACAAACGAACCCTTGGATGGAGCGTTTTACCCAAGTCAAGAGGTGAAGTGGTATACCCACTGAGACAAGTGCGGGCCACTGCTTACATCCTGTTTACAGTCCTGAACCAGTCGTGGAACTTCCTCATTCCTACGGTGGGAGCGAGAAATTCCAAAATAATAAAACCTGACTTTGCACAGAGGGGTACTTGCTGTATAGGCACCAAGCGATGAAGTCACGTGATTGTGGTTGCCGGGTGAGTAGGTGGCTGGGTGAGTAGGTGGCTGGGTGAGTAGGTAGCTGGGTGAATAGGTGGCCCGGTGAGTAGGTGGCTGGGTGAGTAGGTGGCTGGGTAAGCAGGTGGCTGGGTGAGTAGGTGGCTGGTTGAGTAGGTAGCTGGGTGAGTAGGTAGCTGGGTGAATAGGTGGCCCAGTGAGTAGGTGGCTGGGTGAGTAGGTGGCTGGGTGAGTAGGTAGCTGGGTGAATAGGTGGCTGGGTGAGTAGGTGGCTGGGTGAGTAGGTGGCTGGGTGAGCAGGTGGCCGGGTGAGTAGGTGGCCGGGCTAGATGCTATCTACCTCTCTCTGTCCTGCGAGCCGTTGTTGACGACGTTGTTCACCACGATGCTGCTGCGATCGTACGCCGCGCTGTTCCGCTTGGGGCCGTGGACACGTGCAGGCATGCGTCCCTCGGCATCCGCCAGCCAGTTCTGATGGACGGAACGGAACGGAACAAGCGGACAAAACCGGTCAGGCCGTACGCCACGCAAGGCTGCGCGCACAGCTGCTGCTGGCGTGCGACCCGCAATTTCAATCACCGGGGCACGCGCCGTACCCAACTCGCATGGCATCTGCGATCGGAATATCAGACCTTAGAGCGAATGTTATAGGTGTCCGGGTGTTACTGGGGGTCTCGGCGCCGAGGTTCACGGGTTTGAATCGGGGGGTTTTGTTGGCCCGTGATTAACATAGCTGCGAGTTGATGGTCATAGCCCCGTCGCTAAACGACTCCAGCAACGGCGCCAAAAGAACGGCCGAGGCTCGTATAAAGCCTAGCGAATAACCAAAATCTTGTGCGCAAATTATAAAACAAGTGCACAATTAGTGCCGTTCTGAGCTTTAAACACAGCCTTGATTTTTCGGTTTTCGAGCGTGCATGCGAAGGTGGTTTGTAATTCTATGGAGAAAAAAAAAACTAAATTAAATATGTTGGTAAAACTTTCTATTCGTGTGAATGGATGTACTGTCTTTATAACCAGAGTTCTAGGGAGCCCAATGAGTGTGACCTATATCGTCACACCTCGGAGGCTAAGCAGGCATTGAGCCTGGTTAGTACTTGGATGTGAGGCTGCCTGGGTGAGCCAGGTATTGTAGGTTGAGAGGTGTCCAGAGGATTGTCGCAGCAAAGCTATGTCATCTTCACTCATCAAGGGAATTTGCTCAAAACGTTCCAATGTCGTAGGAACCTCCTGAAGAGGAGCCTTGATCCTCGGCGTGGATTTCCTGGCTAAATAAAAAAATCCTTATTGCGTGAAGGGAGGACCAGGGGAACGTTTAAATCTAATTATTACCAAAAAGACAGCTTGCTAAAATAAATAACAAAAACCCTTGGCATGTTTGAAGAATTTTCCCTTTCAAATGTTTGTACACAACTGCCCGCACGCATGTCAGCACCAGCGCCTATGGTTTGCGCTAAAAACGGACAGCGAGCGAATCACCGATCGTGCAGATATTAGCCAATCAAAAAAGGGGGCATTTCACACGGCCCTGTACTTGCCAATGGGATTACTCGATCCAATGGATCGCTCGCCGACGTATCCACGCAATGATTAACCCTCGTTGAATCGATCCTCTAATGAGCCTGTCGGATCGACTGCGAGCTGAATTGATACAATCGACAAGCCCCATTCAGGTTTCACAAGACGATATATGGGCAGAGACATGCCCCTAAGGACAACACCAACTTCCTTCCATATATGGGCAGATCGCCGATCGGTGATTTTGTCGGGTGAACCGATTTTATTGTCTTCACAGCGCCACAGCCAGTGCTGACCTCAAACTTCTGAGCTTCCTGCTGGAGCTTGTCGATCTTGTGCGCCGTCTCGGACAGCTTAGGCTCCAGGCTGGTGGAGTCTCCCATCTGCGGGTTCTTGAGGTAGACGTCCTTCATCTTGAGCAGCGCCTCTCTGCGAGACAGAGCGGGGCACCGCGTCAACACAAGGGGGGCGGGGGCGCGCACACACACACACGACGGTCGCGCTTCATCGACGTTGAGGCTGTTTAACCGGACGAAAATGACTCGAGAGGCCAGGATGGAGTCTCGTTTGCGAGCGAGCGTGACCTGGCGGCACGAAGACTGCCAGTAGGGAGAGGGGCGATGATTGCGTTGTCACGGAAGACGACGGACGAGACCGTCTGTCCCGAATCCTATGGACGCGTCGTTACCTCTGGTCGACCTCCTTCTTGATTTCGCTGTTCAGGTCGTCGATCTTCTGCTGCAGCTTCTTCCTCCGCTGCTCGGGCGGCAGGTGACTGAAGTCCTCGGCTGGAACGCCCTGAGTCGAGACGTGGGAAACACGGACGGCGACAATATTAAACTGTAAATAAATGTATAATGACATAACCCCAAGTGTGAGCGCAAGTGTGGCACTCGTAGCTGTTAGAGAAATCAGATGTCTAAGTGACGAGAGAAAGCCCATCATAAGGAAATAATAATTATAATAATATCGCGCGAGTCAAATTCCACGACCGCACGTCTACCTAGGACTACGCGACCATGAGAAGCCACTTTATTCTCGACTGGACGGCGTTCGGCAGAGGACCGCCCTACTTTGTGAGCTGTGCTCCTACCACGAGCAACCTACGTAACAATTATTAAAACGATATCATAATCCGAGCGCGAACTAGCGAGCGTGCGTAGCGGCGCATCGTTTACATTCTCACCGATGAACCGAGTGAATGAGTCGCGAGCATTACGGAGCCTGACGCCGCCGTCGACTGTGAGCGTGCCTACCTTTGGGACACATCCTGGAGAAGACTTGTCGCCGGGAATAAGAGATATTATTTCGCTCTTTTTTTCTTACACATTTCAAGAAAATGAGTTACTCTGCATTCAAGCGTGTGATGACGTCGCGTTTTTTTCTGGCACTGCCGCCATTACTCTGCGCATGGGGTGCCGTGCGTTGGAAGTACGCTGCCGATGGACTTCGGGGGCGGGCAGGGGTGGGGGGAGGCGGTCCGGTTAGTCGTTGGCACACGGGTGAAGAAGAAGCCTGGTTCGCGGATGAATGAGGAAGCGCACACGCAGGCATCTCGCTATCGGCGTTAGCGAGGATGAGGGTGCGAAGGAGCGGAAAAACTCTACGTTACCCGAGGAACTCGGAGAGCCATGCAGTTTCATCTGAGCATGGGGTGGGGAGGGAAGAGGCTCAAACGGCCCGGATTCAAACTGCAACAGCCCCGACGCGCTACGGGGGATGTCACGGCACTGAGCGTCTCAACGCGAACATTCCAATTCCACTGGCGCAGTGGCCAGCGCACCGCGTCGTGAACCCTGTGACCTCGGTTGGCTTCCGACAAAATCGGCCGGGATGTACCTGACCTCATCCGACCTGGGGAACGAGGGCTTGAGCCTGGAGATTAGGTGACCGTGCACAACAGACAGGTACGGTAGTCAGCGCTGTGGGCAGCAGAGGGCAGTTCAGCAAAATCCACTGTTGTTCTGTACTCCCACGGCGTGGCGAAGTATGGTCAAATAAAAATCCTCGCTGCCTGCACGGTGCGGGGAGGCCTTCGTCCATCAGTGGACAGTCGAATGGGCTGTACGTGTTCGAGTTCAGATCACGGCTGGCAGTAGCAAGCGGGATCGAAACCGTCCTGAGAGCATTGCTGACCACTGCGCCTGCACCAGCCCGCACTGACCGGCGCGGTGAAGTACGGCAAAACAACTCCCGTGAGCGATACGGCATGGGGAGGGAGGCCTTTATCCGGGCAGCAAATCGTCAAAAGGGCCGCGCCGAAACTACTTTTCCGTCGTTACAACGTCCTTCAAATAAACGTAAAAAATAAGGGGCATCGGGACTAAGCGACAGCGCCCCGGGACCTCTGCACGATCCACGAGCGGACGGGGGGGGAGGGCGCCCGGTTTTTAAGACGGATCGTTGGGACTTCGCGCGGTGACATCCCCACGGACCACAGCGATGCAAGGGTTACACACAGAGCGAGGAGCACACCACAAAGGGGCCTTCTTACCAGCTTCATTGAAAGCTTCGCGTTTCAAGGAACAAAAAACAAAGACATGTAAAACAAAAATCCAGAAGGGTTGGGGGGCGGGGGGGGGGGTACAGGAGGCAAAGTAAATTCGCTTTTATTTCTAAAACTAGCATCATCGTCGTCGTAATCATCATCATCATCATCAAACAATCATCGCCCTCACTTGATACCCCATGCAGTGCATTTCGAGGTGCCCTGCGGCAGTCGAGCGAAGGGGAACCCCCCCCCCCCCGGGGGCAGCTGTCCCTGCGAGGCACAAGACGAACGTAGCCCCGGCCTGCAAGTGGACGCTAGGCTACCAGCAGAGGGGGGTGTTTGATGAATCGCTCGAACTGCGAACGATTCATCAAGCAGTCGCGGGTGCTGCGCACAGTCGAGACGCAAAGAGGGCCGCGTTAAGGGGACGTTCACGTCATGACAAATTGCGCCGTTGCTTCACACACACTTGATGCTTGGCAATGTGACTTACCTGAGTTTCACCGCAGGATGTAAGCACAGATGTTTTTAATAAATGTATATGCGGCGCTGCATAAGGAAACATGCTGATGGCGTTTTTTTCTCTCTCCATATATCATGAAGGTGCCTTTACACACCCTTGAGCCGCATGCAACCATCGCGCGCGCACACAACGGTTTAAATGAAATGGCTCCTTGTCCGTGCTGATGGGCACCATTGGCAGATCCTATTATCCGCATAAACTCCTCTGAAATTGGTGTGATCGCCCGCCGAATAAACGCGGCTCATAAAATGTAAAAGCCGCAAGACTCGGCTAATCCGCTGAAATGAATATGGATAGGCGGCTTCCTACGTGACGATAAACGCGGACAATAGGATGGATTTGCCACGCGACTCCTCCTCTCATCCGCGGGGGGGAAAAAGCGCGGACGATCGGAATCGTAGTCGCCGACCGCCGGCGGTGCACGTGGATGAGAGCGATGTCCCCGCTGATCTCACAAGCAATGGGAGCCGTCCCGTGGCAGCCATACACGGTTCCCTCATCCGACCGCGCAGCCACAGCCTCGACCGCCCGAGCGGCCCAATTCGACGTGTATTTTCACGGCAACGCGGCTTTCACCCGACGTAGAGTGAATCCGCGACCCGCGTCTCCCGTCAACAACAACGGCGGCGGCGGCGGCGGCGCAGCAAAGTGGCCAACGCGGCGTCGTCGTCGTTGTGCTCCGCCATTTTTGGCAAGACGCGAATCTGGGCCAAAGTTTCTGGCGCGGGAACAAGGAAATTTGTTCTTGGCCCTTACATTAATAAATACAACCACCAATTCACCACCCTCCCTTGCCCCAAAACATTATAATTGCAGCTCTTATCTTGCAGATACTTTCCACCTGTGGTGCGTGCTTTCCGAGCTGCCCGACAAACGTTTGAAGGTTCGTCAAGGATAAAAAAAGACTTTTAAAGTGGCTTTCAGAAGTCTGGTATAGCAGTGTGACGTCACTGCAGCGAAGCACGTATTAAACTGTGAAACGATCGCTCCCGTTGCGACGGTTCGAGTGGTGACGTCACAAACTTTAAAGTCTTCGATTGTCATTCACGAAGCGCCAAGCATTTACCGGGGAGCTCGGTGGGAGGAGGGGACACACGCAGCCCCGTGTATGGATAAAAGGTCAGAGAGGGGCGGCTGTCGCCTTTGGGGTGCGTTCCACGACCGCTCACTGTGGCCACTGGCACCTCTAAGGGGTTTCCGTGCCATGGTTCCGTACGGATGTGAAAGCGTAACGAAAACGAGGTGAGCGGTCAGCGCCGGTAAAACCGAGCGCACGTTTCTCGATAACGAATGCACACCGTTAATGATGGTGGTGAGGTCTCTTTTGAAGTTGTACACGCTGGAGACTTTATGAAATAATCTGTTAACGTTTACACAACTGTGTCCTAATTGTGTGTTCGGTGTCGCGTCACGAGGAAAGGAATCCATTCCGAACACTCGCTGAGCAGTGCAACGCCTCGTGCGAGCGAATGACCCCACGGAAGCGGATAACACAGAGCCACCTCTGGGATCCCAAGTGACCTGGGTCCACACGCAGCAGAGTGCAGAAATTTCCCACCAGCTCTGCCATGTGAGCGGAGCGCGTTTGTCGCGTGACAGTCAAACCGTTGTTTCAAAATTCAGAGCAAGAATTTAAGCAAATTAACATCAAAACCATATTTAAAAGTGATGGGGTTTTTGTTTTTTGTGTGTGACATCATTGGTGACCCGGGGCTGGGACCATCGACCGCTACACTGAGGGGCGGTGACATCGCACCAGCGGCAGCGAGTTCGCTGCTTGCTTATGGAGGTTCACGATTTGAATCCAACCGGCCACCCCGATTAATACTGCGGGTGTGTGTGTGCATGAAATTGTTAATATATTACGCGCCGTCTGTTTCACGGTGGACGTGAAGTCATTCGCACGAGGGGCAGGTCATTGTGTGTTGGCGTCGCGCTCCAAAATGTGCCAAGTTTAAAAAATTAAACCCTGCCAATTACTCAATTGGAATATACACTGCAATCACTGCCCACTACTCCGAAAACTTGGCAGGACCCTCTTTGAAAGAGAGTCATGAGACTCGTTGGATAGACAAGTGTAGTAATAATAATAATGACTTGAAAACCCGCTTTAATCACAGGCCACTGCCTAGCCTTGAAGCCAGAAGCTCAGCGGCGCCAGCTCAGCGCTCAGACTGCCCACCCAGCCAGTCACCTCCTTATGCTTCACATTATTTTATTTGTATTTTCCCATCGGTTTCCCTGGATGTTTGCCGGACACCGGAGGCTGCAACTGCGAAAGGCGAGAGAGTGAGAGAGCCTCCGTCACGTCTGCCCACGCCGATGACGCGTTACCAACCACGTTACCGATACGGCCGCCCAACCGCGTTGGTAACGGGCGGCGCGTTACCAACGCGGGTTAGCCGTGCCGCGTAACCGGCTGAGCATAGCGCGCGGTGGACAAACGAGAACCCCCCGCGCGTGTTCGCATCGTGGCGACGGCACGGGGGAGCGGGGGAGAGGGCAGGGCGTTGCGCGAACGGTGACGCTCGTAACGATCGCGGGATACCAGAGGGGAACGTCGTTAATTCGACCGATCAGATTCTCTTTTTATTCGAAGCGCGCACCGCCGGGGGAGTGCGGCGATCGGACCGGGTGGGGCGAAGGCTCTCGCAAGACAATCCCCAAACCGACCGCGGCGCCACCGCTCGCCACGTGCCCTCCCCCTCTAGTTCTCGTCCGCGGCGTCGCGGCACGGACGCGTGCGTAAGCGGCCGAGATTGTCCGCGTGGGACGGTCACGGGAGGGTGCCGCCTGACCAACCGACCGCCCCTCACTTACGAGGTACCGGCGCGCTTCCCGTGCGTGCGTCGGCCTGCCTAGGGCGGCCACCAGCGCCTCTGGGTGCCGGCGCTTAGCGGGCGCCGCCGGCGCGCCCACGCCGTCGCTACGGGGCCGCCCGCCCGGCTGAGCCGCCCCCCGCCGGCCAGCCCCGTGTAGCCGGCGTCATCGTCATCGTGGTGGTGGTGGTGTCCGGGGGGGTGACGGGGCGCGGAGAGAGGTAGGACGGGTGGTGGGGGAAGGGGGCGGCACACAGAGAAGGGGGGGCACTGACTTCACTCGACGGGTGCGACCGATTGGGAGTACTCAGCGCCGGCACGATGGAGAGCGGCGGACGAAAACGCGGCGAGTTTAAAGGAAGGCTCGACTCGAGAGGCGTGCGGATTGTACTCTGCGGATAAGCGCCAAGGCTGGGCGCCACGGGCTGTTACGACAATAAAATACTTCGACAAGACTTTAACACGACGGCGAATTTATTATGAATATTATGAATTTAAAAAGGAACCTGCGCACCAAATCACCCGAGCTGGCCCTCTGAATCTACGCAGCCTTGAGTCTGGACAGTGCTCGCGAGGGTGAGCGCCGTGTGCCACAACAGGTTTTCTAAGCCACGGGGCTACGCGTTGAGCGGCACGGGCCAGTACGTCCGCTGTTGTGCTGGGCTTCCCCATGCGCTCACGTCCGTGCTCCCCGCCTTCACCAACCCGCGCTGACCAGCGTGGTGAAGTACGGCTAAATATCCCCTCCGCGACTCGCAAAGGGCCGTGCGTGAACTTGGGACAGGAGACCGCCAAGGGCAGGGGAGGAAGTCGGGAGGTCTTGGGCCAAGACTCTGAACGGCCACGTGGGGCGAGCGTCGGGGCTCGTGCTTGATTGACAGCTCGGCCTGTGCGGGGACCTTCAAAATAAGTCCCCCCCCCGCCTCCCCCCCGTTTGTGTGCAGTTTTGAGGATCGCAATCTTCCTTTAAAAGTCTCACAATCTACATAACAACAAGGAAAATCATCTCTCACTCCGAGGATCAAAGGCACGGCGCGCTCGCTCCTCCCGGGATGCGGCGGCGCAACGCCGCGGCGACGGCGGCCCACGACCTTCCACCCGGAACGCGATCGCACGCCGGCCACACACCGTTCCACCGGGGCTTCGCCCGGAGACGTTTCGGGCTCGCGACCCTCACCCCCCCTGCCCGGGTGTGCCGGCGCCGGATGAGTTTGTACTCACCCCGCGTTTGAGGCTCTTGAAGGAGGGCATCATCCGGGACTTTGAGCCGCCCTGGTCGTGTGATCGATGATGGGAGGGGGATAGGGACGAGGGGGACTGGGGACCGGCTGCATTGGGGCTGCCGGGGGTGCTGAGCCCACCTTGGGCGCTGGCGACGTCCAGCGGGGGGAGATGAGGGGGGGACTGGAGGGGGGATGGGGGGGGTGGGGAGAGGTGAGCGGGCGACGGGACGGGCGAAGGAAGTAAGGAAGGACTCGGACGTGGTGACGAAACGGGCAGGGGTGGGGTGGGAGGTGGACGGGGGTGGAAAGAAACACAGGGGAGGTGGAACGCACAGAAAAGTGGAAACAAAGAGAGAGAAAACACGCAGGTGAAAGGGAACGAAAGCACACAAAGCACCACACAAGAGCAGGGAGTGCAGAGAAAGTTGAAACTTAATTTGAAAAGTATCGTAAATAGCATGTTAACGGTCGCCGTAAAAAAGTGAACAAAAAAAATACACACATATATGAATGAATAATGGTAAAAGCTTGGACAGACGAAACACAAAGAACACAAGCGATAAATCGGAGGCATCGTGCAAGCTCTGGACGACACGCCGACGAGGGAGAGAGGATGAGACAGTGAAGTGGGGGGGGGGGTTGTGGGTAAACGATCGCGACGGGTGCCATGCGGGCGGTGCTCCACTCCTTGCTTACCAAGCCCCGATTCAGAGGTAGAAATTCCACATTCCTATGGCTGGAGCATGTCCCACCACGGGACAATCACTGCTTGGTCCTGAGATATGCTCCCCCCCCTCCCCCTAATCCCATCCTACCCTCATGTAGATGCTTTTGTTTGTTTGCGATTGCATACAGCCACGATGTAAATTGAACACTTTTGCCATTGTTGTTGCGTGTAATCATTGGGCTTGTGAATAAACTTTCGAGTCAGCGGTTCTCAGTGTGCGAGGTGCAGGCTTCGGCACGGACACGGTGCAGGAGAAACATTGAACGCGAGCGGGAGGTGGAACGTCAGCGCCACATTGCAGCGACAGAAACGTACGACTGCATGCCTTGCTTCCACGGTGCTGGCTCGAGGCACGGACCTGTGTGAACCTGTGATCTCTCTGTGTACTGTTGCCTTAGTCACCAGGTGGGAGGGCAGCAAATGTTAACTACCTCGCCTGGTATAGAGGAGGTCGTGGGTTTGATCCCAACCCCGACGCCTGCTGTATATTTCGAGTTTCCATGTTCTCTCTCCCCATGGTCGCGTGGACTTTTCTCCAGGTCCTCCGGTTTTCCCCTCCACATTTTAAACCCAAACGCTCTTAGAGTATTTGCCTGCTCTAAATTTCCACGTGATAATAAGCCACTTCGTTGAGCTATCATCTGTGACAGCCAGGTCGCTTCTCAGTGGGCCTTACCTGGTAAAATAAAAAGAGTTACGCTATTAGTTTTCGTTTAGAATGAGGACCGCTATTCTACTGGCGTCCACGCGCCGGGTCACAAGGGTCACAAGGGTCACGGCTGACGACAACGCTTGGGGAAACCGTGCACGGAGATTTCAACGTGGCACGCCACGGCGGCACTCCAAGCGCAATTGCTCCGAGCTGAAGAGGGCAGATCGACTGATGGGCGGCGAGCGCCCTCGTGGATAAATGGAAGCGTTGATGAGACGGTGCAAAATAAGAAAAACTTTGTAACAAAAACAGCAAATAGGTAACGAGAAACAAAGACTGTTGTGGAACGCGGTATTGGGTGGAAGGGCCTGGCCGGGGTAACACAGTGTAATCATGCAAAACAGCTGTGGCCATTCACCTGAAACCATTACTCTATAGACCACCCTATCTGCATTTGAATTTTCAAATGTCCGGAGCAGCTGCCACAATTTCCAGCTATCCCCTCTCAAGCTACCGCCCCGTCGGCGGGCTCTCGAGAGTTGTGCGTTACAGACCGCGGGGGCTTCTTCTGCATAGCGACCGTGGCAGGAAAAACAAAAAAAATCGGCGTGGCTGAAGTCCCGTCCAAAATAGGCTGTTCCCCCCCCCCCCTCAAAATAACAGTGAATCAATTAGCAAAAAAACAACCGCACAGCCTTGGAAACGGCCGAGTTTTATTCTTGGCCGAGTTTTGGTCCCAGGAGGTCCCGTTCTGGGATTTCCTGCGACGTAAGCCTTGGCGAGAGGAGTTAAAAAAAAAAACTAAGTAGGCGGCAGCGGCGGTAAATCTGACCGCTCCACACCGTGCCGCCGTATGGACGGAGCGCACACTTCCGACACCGCGAGCGCACGCGGACGGAACCTGTCGCTACCCGCCGCGGGGGTACGGTGGCGTGCGGCGCGTTCACCGCGCAGTGCGGGAACGATAACACCGACAACGTAAATTGTCATGCTGCTCACAACCGGCACAATAGGGCGCGACTCCCATCCCACCTTCCACCCCTCCCATACGACCACAAGATTGCAGGTACAATGCTCTCACAGCCTTGTCTAGACCGCCAACTCAATTATTGTTTGCAACACACCTCTGCGTGTTGTTAGCTATTTGTTTCCAGCCTGTACACTTGGATGGGTTTTAGTCATCGCTTGCAGCAAGTGCTGGATTTTGAATTGAATGATTGGATACCATGCGTGGGGAAATCCTTTCCTTACCGAGGGCCGATGAAGACATTCAAATGCCTTAGGCGGACAACCACACATCAACACACCTGACCGTTATCCAAGACTAACGTATATCAGCCAAATCAATAAATATAAATGTTGTAACCATGGCTCAGCTTCACCGAATTCAAGCAATGCCTGCACCTGCTTTCCGCTCATTGAATTCCGCTCACTAAAACAGTGACGCATCGTATATCCGAAGCAGACAGAGATTGAAAACTCATTTCTTTAAAACTGCTTTTTGTGTTCAGTTTGTTGTCCTTCCCCCGCACCTCCGATTAGCATGGTTGGCTACGTGCAGTGAGAAAGAAGTTCAACATACAGACATGCGGCTAAGATGCTCACAATCAGTGGCATTGCTAGACCCAAGCAAAGCAAGCACAGGCTAAGTGCACCAAGTAGCCCAAGGGGCTCCGCATTCATAAAAAAAAATGTTGCACCAAATATCAGCTGAAATTAAATTCATAAAAATTAACATAAAAAATCAAATTCATGTAACCACCCTTCTCTCATCTCACTACATCGCTAACTCTCGTGTTGAAACGAAGCAGTGGGTCGTGTGGGCAGCACGCTCCCCAGCCCGGGCCGCACAGCGTCTGTCAGCGGCCCGCGCGGCCTGGATCGCTCGCTCAGCGCCGGCAACGAAGCGGCAAGACCGCCGGCGGACGGACTGGGCTGCCGGGAAAATCCACAAGCATTGGGGTCGGGGGTGGGGGAGAGGCTGGGGCGGGAGGGGGGAAGGGAGGTTGCGTAGTGCGGGAGGTGGTGGAGTCAGGACTGGTGGTGTCACTGGCGGCTGGGCATTTGAGTCCACGAATTTAAATGCGTCTAATGCCGGGGACGGGGAATTCAACCGCGAGGGCCGTTTTTTGTTGTTGTTGCGTGTTGTCTAATCGTTTTGGCGGCCGGACTTTCCTAGTGCGCGTTGCCATTTGGGAATCTGAAGGTGTCTGTGCCAGGTTGGGGAGCTCGAGCGTGAGGCTCGGACGGCGATTTTTGTCCACTGTCCAATGTTTTTTGACGGCCACGTGTTTCGAGTCCACACGAAGTCTGCGAACGTAAACGCATATTCGACAAGGAATGTAAGCGACGCGGGATCTCGCGGTTTTCTAGCGTTGTTCAATTTTTGTATTTAAAAAGTATTAAATTATTTTTTATTCTACCACGTAAAGCCCACTGAGCTATATAGCTCTTTTTCAGAGGCGACCTGACCACAAATGATAGCTCATTGAATTCCGCTCCAGCGTTTTGCAGGAAATAAAATCCGTGTGATCGCCAATGCCCATACGCCACTGGCTGCAGGCCTTACCTACAGCAATGGTGGAGACTTGCAAACAACTTTCAAGCATCTGAACGTGATCCAACACGCGGCTCAGACAAACGCAAAACGTACGGCACCTTTACCGCACGTTGCACAACAGTGTAACGCTAAACATCCACAGAAAATACTTTGCAATGAAGCCTGGAAACTGTCACGATTCAGAACATGATTTGTGGATATTTATATAAAGGACAAAGACAAAGATGCCCCATATAACCTTAACAAACTGTTGGGGCAAGTGCTGCAAGTGAGCACCTATTTATACACACATGCGCACTGGAATGAATGGAGTAGTAGCACGGTGATTAGCGCAATGCACTATTAATCCAGCCAACCGAGTTAGATTCCCATCCAGGGCTAACATCAACTGATATGTGAACTGGTGTTGGGCTCCACACTTCACAGATCTACACCGGGGAAGCAGTACGGTGAAACAACTCCAATGGCCGGCACAGTGAAGCGACGCTTTCACCCAGCAGTGGAGTGACAAAAGACTGTCCGTTATTATTATTGTTATATACAGAGATATGGGAATAAGCTTAACTTCAAGATATTTTTTTTGGTCATTGACAAAGCTTCCTAAGTGCTGTTGATGCAACAACAACAGCCGCCATTCGCCACTCAGTGGCAGTGACGTCACCACGGCGCCTGTGCCAGGCTAGGTACACTTTTAGGCCACGAAGGCTCACTGGCAGGAGGTCACGGGACAGACCCAGGTGCCAGGACACACACACACACAGACAAGACCGATGCACACATTTACAAGACAAGCCCCGCATATTGTTTACATTGCTGCTGACTTGAAGAAGCCCCTCCCCGTGTATGCGAGCCCTCCCTGCCACGTCCTTCTCCCCACACCTTGCCACGGCCGCCACCGTGCTCCCGCTCAAGCCGACGCAACGTCACGCCAAACACTCGACTCCAACAGCGGGCCTCCGCGTCTCCCCGACGCGCTAAATGGAGCGTTTGCGCGTCAACGGGCAGCGGTATCGGCCCGGGCTTCTCTCTAGGGACACCCGAACTTAGACGTGAGGAGGAACGACATCGTTATCGACGTGGCGACACTCGCACGCTCGCACTGAGACAATGATTCCCTCCCTCCACCTACTATAACCATGTAACGCTGTTGGGACAAGGGCTGTTAGCAAGGACCTATAAAGGTCGGCACGGCGCTGTATAATTGGCCGACGGCACGCACGTCCGCTAACCCCTTGTACCCCCCCAGCGCTAATGTTCACACGCCGCACCACGATACTTATTTGAGGCTGAGTAGATGTATGGGGGCCTGGGACCGGTTCACATGATCACCGCTGATGTTGGCCGTGGCCTGGGATTGAACCCGGTCGGTGGGGTTTATAGCGCAGGGCAATAACCACTCCACCACCGCTCCCGCTCACCACCGAGCACACACTCGCGCAACATCGACCGCAGCCGCAGCCGCCGTTCGTCACGGAGTAACGGCGACTTCCAGACAAACGCTTGTACCGGGCTGGGTACCGCTCCGTGGCCACACGTGCGGTCGCGCGCACGGCACACACACACAGGGGGGGAAGGGAGGGGGTGGGGCGTACCTTGTGCTTCTTGCCAAAGGGCCACAGCTTGGGCTTGCTCTTGGTGATCCCAGGCGCCACGGGCTTGTTGTCGGAGCGCGACACGTCGGGCTTGCTGGAGGACGAGATGCTGCTGTCGGACGGCGTGCGGCTGATGAACTGGCTGTAGTCCTCAAAGTCGACGTCGCTCGGCCTCTCGAAGCCCGACTTGTACGCCTCCACCACCAGGCCAGAGTCCTGCGCACGAATCGTCCAGCAGCAGATCGATCGGGCTTGCGATTGATGGCTCGACTGTCTTTGTGGCGAAGCTCACGAGGCCGCATTCGCATCTTGAGAGATGAAGTTTAGATTTGGGACTTTAACCAATCAATAAATCTGTCATTTACGTGCTTAACATCGCCCTCGGTACAGTAGACATCGGTGCACATTACAGCAGAAGGGGAACGGTGCAGGGGCACGGAGCAACAGGGGTGCGAAAAGAAACCCGTCACGACCTCAGCGGCGAACACCGGCTTGCACGGCCGCGTGGAAAGAGATTTCACAGAACTGTCGCTGAGATGGAGAGGAGAGGCGATGTGGCTGGCGCTGCCCCATTGGCGGTGTCACCTTCACACCTGGCACCAATCGGCGTGCGCCGGCACACGCCGTCACGAAAGACAAAAGCTGCTGGCGGCAACGCGCGGGCATTCAGCTCCGGCCAACGCTCGGTGGCACACGCCAGTGGCCCACCGCTTTGTGGAGGTGAGGGTTGGTGCAGAGGTTTGCGAAAGGTCAATATTATCCATAAGAGGTTTTTGTTGGGTTAGATCACGTGAATATAAACGTGCCGTTAAACCGACCAACACCCGACACAGCCAATTAGTGAGGTTCGTCACGTAACCAAAACATGCCAATAGGTTAACTAGTTCAGCACACCGGTGTGTTATCGCACGAGCAGGCGCACCGATGACCTTCGGCTGAACGCTCGCGATTCGACGGGGCACCTGTGCCGCGGGGGGGGAAGGGGGGCGGGTGACGGTCCAAGGGTTACCTACAACAACAACGACAACAAAACCAAAGCGTCGGCGACATCGGCGACGTGAGAACCCCTCACCTTTTCGGCGCTGATGCTCTCGGCCGCAGACGTCATCTCGTCGAGGCACTTGCCCAGGATCGGCATGACTTGCCGGTCGATGTCAGCGAACCGTGTGATCGACTCGGCGATGTTGGATATCCTCCTCTCGTCCATGGCTTGCAGGTCCTGGGAGACGCAAGCCGTGCGTGAAATGTCACCACGCAGGCCTCACCCACCCCTCCCGTTATAAATACAAAAAAATCGCACTTGTTTTTGGAGTTCTTTTTACCACGGTGTTTTGCTCGGCCGCCGTTACACACGTGCACGTACACGCACACACACGCACACACACACACACACAAAAGGGGTGCTTAGGTTTACTTAGAGACAGTTCGGGGAAACCGTCCGGCTGAATAACTGCTAATGGGCAGCGTTAAACAACGGAAGGGTGGCTATTTACGCTCAAAGTTTATGTCTGGCCGTCCAAGGGGTTTGGATACGAGTTAGCTGCTGTTCAACGCATTAGACTGAACAAAAAAAAGACATTATTTCTTTTGTTAGCAGCTCGACTGGGAACAGAGTGGCCTTGATGCCTCCCATCCACTTGATTAAGGGGAAGTGAACAACATTAACCGAGGCGTGGATGCAGAGAGAAAGTGTTAGGATCTGTGTTCTCTTTTAGTTGGTACCAACAAACAAAAAAATAATCATGCATTCTTTTCATTCTGCTAACAACTTGAAATCCAAACCATTTGACGGCCAGATGTAAACTTTTCACACAGAGCAAAGCGGGGACAAGAGGCCTTTGGCCAGCAGTGGGACGTTGCTGGCTAACAACAACAACCACAACAACGCAGCATTCGATTCTCTGCATGTGTAGCGAAGTATGAGGAGATCCTGCATCACCTGGAAGACCTTGGGCATGACGGTGAAGTAGTGCTGGTGCTGCTCCTCGTTAAACTTCTGCAGCTGCGCCGCGTACTCGCTCTTGCAGTCCTCGGCCATCTGCATCCGCTGGTTCGACTGCGTCCGCGCCTGTGTGGCCCGGACACGCGACGAGGATGCGTCGTGTCGAGCGTTAAGCGCGCGGTCAAACCGCGTAAGAATAATTTTTTTGTGTATGGGTTCATGTGACCCCTGGAGCCACTGGTGGATAACCTGACAGCATATTTGGATAGCAGACAGCACAGTTGGATAGCATGAGCATTCCTCTATCGCGTGGTGTTGTTGATGGTGTTGGCGGCGTGATGTTCCATCTCACGGCGGGTCACAGACCACCCAACTCCCCCCGTGGTGTGGTCTGGTAAACGCTCCTCCGCGCTCTGACGCCACACAGATGGGGCCTCTCGGCATCATCTCGCCACGACGGGGGTTGCGCAGGATGGGGGGGGGGGGAAGAGTGCGCACAAGCCCTTTAAAACGGCGCATGCTGTGTGGTCCGCGCAAGTGAAGCGCCAACTCCACAGGCGAGCGTAAATACGGCACGCAGTACGAACGCACCGCCGCCAGAATAGACCGGTCCTATTCATCCTATTCGTCGGCAACGATATAACCACTGCTGCAATGAGGTCTCCCAAAGCCGTCTGGATCTCTCGCGGCCCCACGACGGAACAATCCATACAGCAGCTGCGCGCGAGCCAACTTCATCGCCCCCAACTCCATGATGGGCATCCTCTGGGGCGTGCGGCTCAACTATTTGCACAATTGCTACTCTAATAGAAGAGGAAAGCATTTCATCAGTGTGCGTCACCTGCGGTGACATGGGTCAGAGACACAGCGTGGTCCACCGATAAAATCGAAGTTGGAAGAACCCCGGCGTATGTGTGTACGTATGTTGAACTTCTTTCGCACTGTATGTAGCCATCCGTACTATTTAGAAGTGCAGGGGAAGGACAGCAAACTAAACACAAAAAGCAGTTCCAAAGAAATTAGGTTTCAATCTAGATCATTCAAAAGTGCATATCTCCAGTGGCTTCCTGATATCAGAAGAGCGTTCCAGACGGCCGCAGAAGCGCATCTGAAAATGCGCGATGCAGTGACCGTCTCTGTTGGATGGCCAGCCAAAAGTCGCCGCTGGGAGGATGCCGGATAGCGTTGTGAGTTGCGAGGAGAGCGCCGTATCGGCGGTGGTGGCGCTGGAGGTGGCAGCGTCGGTCAAACCCCCCGCGCCAGTGCCCGCCCGCTGCCACCGGCGCCGAACTCAACCCGAGCGTACCTTCTCCACGTCGGCCTTCGTCACGTTGATGTCGTTGTCCATCTTTTCGAAGTGCTGCAGCGCCCTCTCGGCCTCCTTGCACTCCCTCTCGAACTTCTTCTTGCTCTGCGATCGTCACGAGATGGTTCGCGCACACTGACGCTGGTCCGTCCGATGGCATCGCCGTTGCCGACGCCGAGCGTCGCCGTCGAGGCCGACGGCGACGTCGCGATGGGAAGCTGTGTGGGCGAAGGGAGGGGCACTTACCGACTCGAGCTGCTTCCAGCATCCCTCCAGATGCTGCTGTGCTTTCCTGCCGTCGTTCAGTTGCTGCGAACACCAAGAGACACACGAAGGGGAGATGCCGCCAGAAGACACGACGGCGCACGTTAAACAGAATCATCAGAATCTTTGTTTTAGACTGGAGGAATACAATGAGCTATACAGCTCTTTTTCACAGATGTCCAATTTACCATCATTTAAAAAAAAAACGCCGGGAAGACCCCAAGATGCAACGCGGTTTCACTGTACAGCACCGGAGAATTTTTAAATGACAAATAGAAAACTGGAATCCTAATGCCTTTTGTCGATCAGCTTCCGGATGTAGGCCTGCACGTGCCGTTTCAGTCATTGCGGGTTGCATGACCATGCTTCGGCACGCCGGTCAATATGGGCTGTGGACGGCAAAAGTCCAGAAGCTGTTTGGATGTCGTTCGCCCACTGATGTTCGCCAGCAGCTTTTATTCAAAGTGGGGAGACTCCGCGCCAGTTCCGACTTCCTTTGAGTCGCATCGGCAGTAGTTTTACAGCGGCTGTCACAGAATTATTGACGAGACCCCGGCACCTCATCAGCGGGGTTCGTTTGCCGTAAAGACAGAAAAAACAATTCTCAGGGGAGCATCAATTCACGCTCCCCGGAACGGTCACAATTCAGGCTCGTGAATCGACCCAAGAATATATCGGCATTAATTGCTAGTTAATATTAACTAGATTAACTAGTTAGGAATAACTGGAACTGCATTGAGAGGAAGGGAGAGAGTGAATGTTTCTTCCCGGCAGAAACAAACAACATCGATCAACCAATGTCAAAATAGCTCCAGCAGAAGCAGCGCACTGAGGATGTCATTTAAGGACGGACAAAACATTGCAGAATGTTGGAAGAGTCGGAGCAAGTTTGTCTAATTGTATCACGAAACTCACAACTTACGACAATACTTCCCGTCACCAGTGAAAACTTTCTCACGTATGATAACAACAAATCCATGCAAAATGTGAGGCTTCTGTTTTGGTTGCACGCCATATACCAGCGGGCACATGGTGGATATGATGACTGTTGTGGGACCATGTGGAGCAGGGGCTCGCGAAGGAAGTCCACAAATACCTCCGTCTCAAAATTAACTAAAGTTCGCTCAGCGTCACCTCTGCTGCGGTAAACCAAGGCTGTCTGTCAAGGCCTTCGGTGAACTTCTACCAAGCGGGAGGTCACTCCTTCTCTTCAGCTGCCTCCGTGGTATGGCGCTCGTTTCCATACCAAGCCATCCGTGCTGCCGACTCCCTGCACCTATTCAAGTCCAGGTTCAAGACCACTGTCATCTCTGCCTCTGACCGTCTCTTTTTGTTGCGTAAAATTTCCTTTGATTAAGACAGTGGAAGAGAAGAAGGACAATGTATACACATATTCTTTGGTTCTTTCGGTAAAGTCACGTAGGTGTAAAATAAAATGAATCAAATCACGACGTTTCGGGCGCAACAGAGTTTGTGGCTTTCAATCGCTGTCCTCTCTCACAGGTGATCAATCTGTGACCCGGGAATTAATTTGACTCTACGGTGGCTTGAAACCCGCGCTCAACCCGACCGCGACGCAGAGATGAAAGTGAGGAATTGTGGGTAGAGGCCGAGGAAAAGTCCAGTTGCAGGGGCGGCCACTGAAATCCTCCTCCGCACACGTTCGTTGTAACCCGCGCGGGGAATTTGCCGAGTGTACGAATGGAATGCAGAGTCCGATGGACGGCGACACCGATGAAGAAACAGTGACGGCACGAGTTGGCCGCATGCTGCATCTACGTGTGACCGCATCTCGGCACTCTGTGTAGAACAGCGAGCATATCTATTTCACGGAGAGACCGGTTATTATGCTGGAAGCCTCCCAGTCTCCCTTTTTGAAGTCCAGATTTTAAAAAAACTTAATCTTCTCCTCTGTCTATGACCAACTGTCTAGTCATAAAAAACAACTTACACAGATATATTGTTGTGTTTGAAGTATATACGCCTACTGTTCCCTTTGATGTGTACGTCCCACCGCTCTGCACAGCATTTTGAGATGCAGCAGTTGGAATAAAGGCACTCTGACCCGCAATTGGAACTCTTGGACAATCAATTAGTGTCCGTCATGGGCCCCCTTGCTGACCGACTTTCCCCGGCCTCTACCCACAATTCCCTCACTTCCATGTCTGCACCGGAAGTGAGGGAATTGTGGGCTTGGCAGACTCAACGTGGGCCTCCCCATTGCTACTTGTGCCTCCCTGCCTCCTGCCCCCCCACCAAAACAAGATCAAAATAATTCCCACACGCCCTGTGAACGGTAAACATTCACGCCGTTTCAGAACCTGCAAACAAGGGGAGGCGATTCACCAAAGCCACTCCCTCAAAATTACCAGCTTACGAAAATGTCGCTCAGTCACCGTGAACTTTATATTGTTTGGCTGCTATGAATATCCACGTGATAAGCCACTTCCTTGTGGCCAGGTTGCTCAGTGGGCCTTACCTGGTAAAATATAAAATAGTTTTTGGTATATTAATTGAAAGTGATTTGTTTACCTTTCCTATACTGCACATCTGTGAAAAAGAGCTTTACAGCTCATCGGATTCCTCCGCTACGAAAATAAATGTCCTGATTCTGAACTTAAAAATTGCCACCGTCGGTCAAGCGACGCGAGCGGCGCCCGCCTTAGTTCTCACCACGGCCGTGGAAAGCGAAGTGGCTCCAGGTCCGGAGCGAGCGCTCACACTCCCAACGCGCACACCACAGAAACCGTCCACCGTGGGTCAAGAATCTCTCTCCGCCCCACCACACGCCCGCCACCCCTGCGCAGCGTAGAGCTTTGCACGGCGGTGTAACCTCAACCTGCCACTTGCGTTATCCGCGGCTGGGAATTGGACCGAGTTGAAGCTCAAAGAGTTGTGTCGGACAGCCAAAGAGCAGCGCAGCTCCGCACAGCGGTCTAACCTGACGAGTTTAGTATGCACGCTGAACTTCATTCGCACCGTGCGTAGCCGACCACGCTAATCTTACGCTAATGGATGTGGGCCTGACACCTCGCACAGGATGGCGTCGGTAGTTCATATTCTGCGTCGTGTGCTCCACTGCGGGATGAAGGACCGGCACCGTGCGGCGTCGGCTATCAGGGGCGGGAGGTCACACCCACCGTCTTGCGCTCCTGCTTGAGCTCCTGCACGTATGCCAGCACCTCGCGCAGGATGGCGCCGTTCATGTTCTCGGCGATCACCTCGTGCTGCCCCGCATAGTCGTTCAGCTCCGTGAGCACCGCCACGAAGGCGCGGCACACCGAGAACCTACGTGGGCGGCACACCGAGAGAACCCGCGTGGGCAAACGCGCTACTCGGGGGTCGGGGGGGGTGGGGTCGCGATGGGTTTGTGACGTACAGCGCTTCACCTTACGCGACTTCGGTGTTCCGCTCTCTTGGATTGCTACTCTGACTCGCGACCATTCATGGATTCACTGGGGAGAGAGTGACGTAGGGACACTATTGCCGCACACGAATGCGACAATAAAGACAACGGTGAAGCTGACAGCAAAAAATTACTTGAATTGAATCGTTACTGTCAACCGCGATCATTCATGGAATCACGGGGGAGAGGACAAATCGTTGCACGCATGCTCCCCAGATTTAAATGCAAATGTTTCCTCTGGCCTGACGGAAGCAATGAGACGGACTGACACACGAGTCTGTACCTCGCAAAGGTCGTGCGCGTCGGTGATGTTTTTTTGTTTTCCCAGTCCCTTATCAACTGCAAGTGATTTGTGCGCGGCAGGAAACGGGAGTTGCCCGAACCCCAAACCCCCATGCCTGCCGCGACAGCGCTCGCAAATCTTCCGCGGATAGGTCATGAATCCATTTGTTGTTGATAAAGACTTGAAAGTGTGTATTTATAGTGTCTCGCTGATAGGCTGCGCGCCCATCAGCAACAGCCGATAAATTCAACGTTGGGGATAAGCTGCGGCAGGCACGAGGTGAGAGCTGCGACGTGATGACGGTGACGTCACCGGTGCGCGTGCACGGGTGTTAGGGTGCCACTCGGCATTCAGGTTTGTTACTTTTAAAGGTCACGCCTCCTGGATGCGTTCAGTTGCCTGCTCAACCGAAGGCGCTGCGAGTTGAGAGAGAACCCCTCGATATTTTACCGGTTGTTGCTCAGAGCAGTTGACAAATGCATTGCGGAAAGTGCACGCAGACAATGTCGAGGCATGAAGATTGAACTGAACTATTAAACTAGTTTTTTGCTTTATTTCACCAGGTAAGGACCACTGAGCTATATAAGCCCTTTTTCAGAAGCGACCTTTGCGACAAATGATAGCTCGAAAAAGTGACTTATCATCACGTGGAAATGTATAGCATCCAAATATTCGAAACTCATGTTGATTCCAAATCTGGAGGGAAAAACTGGACGACCCGGAGAAAAATCCACGTGACCACGGGGAGAACACGCAAACTCCAAATGTGCAGCAGGCGTCAGGGTCGGGATAGAACCCATGACCTCCCGTATCCCAGGCGAGGTAGTTAACATTTCGCCACAGTGGGGTCCTTATTAAGAGTGGATCCTTAGCAACCTGTAAATGTTAATGGATTAGAATGACATTTTTGGCAGTTGACTTTTACAATAATCGTAGCAAATCGAGATGAGGGTGTGCGTTTCAAGTAAACTGAAACTCCACTTTTCCACATGCATACCTAGTGGCACCCTAATGTATACCTACATACCTGTTCTCATCCTCCTCCTTAGAAGTTTTCTTCGACTGATATTTTTTCGTGAGATTCCTGTACGAGAAAGCACGCGCGCACACACACACACACACACGCGCGCGCACACACACACACACGCGCGCGCGTACAAAGACAACACACACACAGATATAACTTCAAATACAAAAGGACAAAATGTGACATTTGACCAGTTCAGAATGACACCCACGCGTGTTTGATTTAATGCTACATCATTGAATGTCAAGGAATGCAACGCATGAAGGAAGACCACGACCACCAGGGAGATGAAGTGATGAAATGTGGATTGTTACGCAGCAGAAACGAGATTACGGGTGCTCAGGGGAGCATTCATCCAGCGGCGGATTGTTCATGGCCGATCGATAATGGCGATGATGACACCGATACTTGGAACAGCCTCACCGAAAGGGCATGTGGAACAGTCAAAAAGTTTCTCGCCCGGTGACGACCAATCGCCTTTCATCGGCGGGCCTACAAACGGACGGATATCGGCAACACATCTTGAGACCGACGTACGGCAAAAGCACGAGCGTGGTGGCTAACCCCAAGCCTCATATCCAAAGGAAACACTCAGGACTTCCTGGGGAGCCGTGCATCCCATCGTGAATTGTTATCGTGGCCCGCGACGGGGCGCCAAGCAAGACAAACGCGGTGGAAACGCTGTTCCGACTGCCACTGGGATAAACGCCTACGGCTCGTAATAGATACGGCCCTCGGTATCAATCTACTGCTGGATGAGGGGCTATCCAATGTGGCTGGATCAGCTAAACCTGGTGCCGCGATGGCGAGATGTTAACTACCTCGCCCGGTATGCAGGAGTTCGTGGGTTTGATCACAACCCTGATGCCTTGTGATTTGGAGTTTGCATGTTCACTCTCCTCGTGGTCACGTGGATGTTTCCCAGGATCCTCCGGTTTTTCCCTCTACATTTAGCATTAACATGCGTTTAGAATATTTGGCTGCTATGAATTTCGACGTGATAAGCCACTTCTTTGAGCTATCATTTGTGATAGCCAGGTCAATTCTGAAAAAGAGCTGTATAGCTCAGTGGGCCTTACCTGGTAAAGTAAAAATAGTTTTAGTTTAGTTTCGAGGCGGTAAGGTTTTGTGCGGCCGCAGGCCGCGTAAGAGACCAAACCAAGGGGGCCCGCATCCAGTCCTCCACCGCTCGACAACTTACGCCTACGACTCTGCATCCCAAGGTCGCGCGCTCCCGAGAGCCCCACTCGGTGAGAACGGCGATAAAATTTCCCCGCCGTGTCCTGGGAGCCGGGAACAAAGTTAAGCGCCGGCAATAAATATCGTCGCGGCGTTAAAAAAAATGGGTCGCTCTCGAGAGCGGGCGAGGGGCCCCGTTTCCCTCGTTCCGCTCGTTAGCGGAGCGACGACAACCGACGATGACGACGAGCGCGCGAGGGAGATGGCGGCGGGGGGGGGCGGCGGCGGCAGCGCGGGATGAGAGCGAGTTGAGAGCGAGTTGAGAGCGAGTTGTGGGCAGACGGCGGCGTATCGCTGAAAACGATCGCACGCTCCCCACCGTCGCCAACCGGACAGACGGTTTGGACATTTACACGTCTGGAACGAAAGACGCCTGCAGCTGCTTTTATGGACAATATCAGCGGCAGCAGCGGAGGTTTTCCTTAAATGGGCGGCAGCAGTAGCTGTGGCGTCCAGGAAATGCAGTTGCTGGTGTCAAAAAGTGCATTCCTACTGCGCCGCAGGCGACGTGTCATGAGACCAGGAAATCTCCCCCCAGAATGTTCTTGCAGCTAGCATTGCACCACCCTGTGCAAGAGAAGAACTCTCTGCCTACTCAATGCACACCACCGGAGGTGTTTAGCATTGAAATACTTTCATTGTGTTAGAATGTACCAAAGACATATATTCCCCGTGAAGCCTTAACAGGCTGTTGGGGCAAGAGCTGTTAGCGAGTAGCGCCTATGAAGGCCGGTACGGCAAACGAGGGGGGTGGGTGGCCAGCACCACGCCCAGCCGCCTTTGTCGCACCGGGTACTCATTTGAGGCTGAGTCGACCTCTAGGAGGCCCAGGACCGATTCAGACAATCGTCACTGGTGTTGGCCATGAGTGGGAATCGAACTCGGGTCGCTGGGTACGTACTGAATCATGCGCATAATAATCAATTATTATTTTAAAAACCATGGAAACCGAGCTGTAACGACTACACTTGAGAATCCGCTTAATCATCGGTGGTTGAAACTTGGAGTCAAACCCTGGTTCCAGTGGCGGCCGGCTCAATTCGCTGCAACGCGAGCACTATGAGCCCCGTGGGGGAAGTAACAGGGACACCTCAAAATCAAGAACAAGGCTTTTTTTTTGCTGTTGTTGTTGTTGCTGCAAACAAATAAATAATAATACAGTCGGCCGGGCTCCTGACGATTAAAATCAATCGGCGGTCCCGTTTCCGTCGTCGTCGTGCATTCGAGAGCAAACCGGAAAATCCGCTTCGCTGGCACTGCCGATTTCTCCAAAAAGGAAGCACCGGCGTGTGTGTGCGGAGCGATCGTGGGGCAAGGTTTGCCGGAGCGCCACTGAACGCGCGTGCGACGTCGCAGTCCCAGCCCGGGCCACCGTGGCGCTCGGTAGAACAAAAGGGGCAACGCCTTGTAAGACGAGCGTCACCACGCTCTCGCCGATCACATGTCCCGGGGGAGCTATTTTTGCTTTTGCCATTAAGTCACTGCCGCTTCTGCGGTCCGTTGAGCCGCCCCCAGCTGCCCATGGGCACCTCTGCCGCTGCCCCTGCCCCTACTGCTGCTGCCGGTCCTGAGTTGGTGGTGTTTGGCAAAATAAAATGAGCGCTGCATTTGAATTTAAAATAAACAACACGCACGTACACACACGAAATGTACAGCATCAAAGGTGCAGCCCTGCAATTGCTCGCTCACTCTCCTGCCAGCAGGAAGGGGCCTCCACTAGAGGGAGCTCTAGACAGCCTCTCTTTGCTGGTCGGAGGCGGCTATGCACGTGCCTGCCTGCAATCCAGCGCTGTCGAGGCAGCAGCGAGGGGGTTGGCGGATCGCCGCACAGACGGGGTGTGAAGCTCCCTTCCCGTGGGCGTCGGGGAGGAGCCCGTACCTCCGGCTTGCCAAGAGAAGACGGAAGAGCAAGTGGACTAATCGCCATCTGTTTATTCCATCTGTGTACAGGGACAGAGTGTTGCCCTCTTCCCTTTCGTGGGTTTCTCCCACGCGTATAATAATAACAATTGTCTGAAAACATCTTAAAATGTAAAACCCAATGCGGTGACCCTGGATGAGTAAGTGAATAATTTAGTACTATTACGTAAAGGGAATTTGACCGACTCTTGCACGCTGCCCAGCCGTACTGAAAGCAGTGGGACTACCCACAATTTACCCCACCACACGTGACGTGCCGCTCGATCACTGCAGTGCAACACACGCATACTGCTGTGCGGATAGAGGCAAAGGTGAGGACTTGCCCAGACAAATACAAAGATCCCTCACATAACCTTAACAGACTGTTGGGGCAAGTGCTGTTAGCGAGCACTTATGAAAGGTCGGCACGGCACACGAGGGGGTGGGTGGCCAACACCACCTCGGGGAGGCCCAGGACCGATTCAGATAATTATCGTCACTTTTGTTGGCCGTGAGCGGGAATCGAACTCGGGTGGCCGGGTTCTTCGCGCAGCGCGCTAACCGCTACCCCGCCGCTCCCCGTGTGGCACCACCAACACATAAACACACAGGCGAGCGGGCGCGGTCATAAAGCTATACGTAACGCTATACGTTATGCTATACGTAACGCTATACGTAACGCTATACGCGTGGACGGTTTATTTTCGGTGCTTCCCCCGCCGTCCAGTATGCGTGCGCGCAATTCCGTCCCCAACGATGCGTCTCGTCGTCCGGCGCGCCCAGCCACCACATGGCCCCGAGGATCGCAGGCAATGCGAGGGGAATGCAAAAACCGCTGCCGCCACCCCCTTGTCCCTCCAGAAGGTCAAAACCAGGGGTCGAGGCAACACCTATCACAACCACCACCACCACCACCTGCTGCCTGCCTCTTCGCATGACAGTCGCGACTACCTCGTTGTCGTCATCGTCACGAGCATCAGTCGTGTTCTATCCACCACCACGAGGGCTCCCGCACGAATATCGGAGAGTTGTGGGAAGCGTCATCGTCGTCGCCGAACCACTTGTGAAGGTCCCCCAAAGCTGTCGCCGCCACCACTCGCTCGCGGTGCTGCGACTTAGTGATCCGCCTGGCACCTGCTGCACAGAAACGGATTTGATCGCTCCATCTCCGCTGCGGATTGTACTATCTCGGACGCGTTCAAGTCGTTGGCTGCCATTCCATCATAGTTTTTGACCGTCCATCGGCCCAGCATCGCTTCCACCTTTTCTGTATCTCAATGTAATTCCAAGCTTGCACCTCTCCACGCTTCTTTGCACAAAGTTCAGTCCCAACCCCCTCAAAAAGTCCAAGTAATTTTCTGCTCCAAAGAGCACTGAGACGCTGCTCACCTCCTGTTCACAGCCCTGAACCAGACTTTCCACAGAGGTAGTGGTGGAAATTCCACATTCCTATGGTGTGTAGGCGAATCTCTCCATTGGACCAACGCTGTTGACTTCCCTGTGAAGCAACGCTCAACTCTCTAAGCGGACTTAAAAACTCAACCCCCATTTTTTATTTCGGTTCCTTTTATATTTTCGGAGTAACGGGAAGTTGTGATTCATTTTCCTTTTGAATGAGCAACACCCTTGGCAAAGTCAAGTGGTACCCATTCGTGGTGCCCATTAGTGGTGCCCATTAGCGAAATGGGTGCCTCCTTTTTAATGAGTAACACCCTTGGCAAAATGACGTGGTGCCCATCAGGATTCCTGGCGGATCACCCGGTGCCTGCGGACATGAAATGACATCGGTTGATCATTGCCGCACGCAACGAACTCCGAGTGGGCCATCACCCATCACCGGTCTGATGTTTATCGGCGCCAGCCCGCCGAGACGCTTTGTCAGAATCCGGGAACATGGCACAAAAATAGTCGGTACAACAACGTCGACTCAACGTTGCCATTATCACCATTGCATGTATTTATAACCAGGTCGGAGGGAGCCGAGTGAGACTGATGACCCGCCCATACTGAGCATCTGTGAACAAGAGCTTCATAGCTCATCGGATTCCTCCAGCCTAAATAAAGATTATGAGCGGAGTAAAAATATATTTTGAAACAGAGATCTGAATGAACGATTAATCCGAGTAAGAATCAGATTAGTTGGATACGACTAATCTCACAATGTAGTCCATGTTGGCTGGACTACACTGAAAACTGAAGTACAACATTGGATGGGACCGTATTTGCAATCGTCTTACCGTTTTTAATACCAATAATTCATAATGTCGGGGGGTGGGTGGGTTCCTGCTACGTTGTAATGATTGGCCGGTTCAGTCCCATTCATGAGTGGTTGGATTTGTGCGAGGAATCCGGCACCCAGGGGAGAGAGCCCACAACGCGAAGGAGAGAAATAACACTCGAAGCTCTGCACAGATGGATTCAATCCACTGCTGTATCGCCACCTCGTGGCCACTCCACAGACCCCGAGCCTTAGAATTCCCGGTATTCACAAACAGTCTCCCCTCCGGGAATTCCCGAGCTGTGCGAAGCATTATGTCACCATCACGTACATGCACGTTGAACTTCTTTCGCACCGTACGTAGCCAACCGCGCTCATCGGAGGTGCGGGGGGGAGGGGGAAGAACGACAAACTATCACCCTGAACGTCAGCCACGATCCGTCCACTGCCGGACAAAGGCCTCCCCCCCAAGCCGTCGCCATCTCTCACGTGTCAACCCGAGCGGCACCCGCCTAACGAACCAAGCAAGCGCAGCGGAGCAAGGAGAAGAGACAGGGATGAAACCACTGCAGACGTAATCAATAAACTGAGACGAAAAATGTAGGAAGGACATAGCAAGGTCTCTAATGTGTGTTTGGGTCGTACCGCGTGGCATAACCGCATGTCGTGCCGCGGGTCGTGCCGCGGGTCGTGCCACGCGCTGTTCGTCACGATGCCCGACGCTTTGCCCCGCGTGCAGAGACCTCCATGGGGAAATTAATTCAACTCGGCTCCTAACGAAGCTCCCGCCACACGTGGCGAAACTGAATGTCGGGCATCATGCCGGTGTGGCAACAACTCATATCGGAGAGCCGTACAGTACGAGCATGAACACCACCTACGTAGTAAAAAAAAATAATCAGGAATAATAAATAAAACATCCAAATCCCTTATCGCCGAGCACTTTTCTTATTAGAACAGCAGCAGCGGTGGCAGCAGCGGTGGCAACAGCGTGAGCGTAGCGCGAGCGGCCAGCTGCGGCCCGTACGACGGGCGGGGCGGCGGGCGGACCGTGTGACCAAGAGATCTTCCAGCTAGGAGGAGGAGGAGGCGTCTCCTTCGTGCGCCGGAGCCATTACCGCGATTGCCCGCTCATCGTGAGAGCGGCTGTCAGCAAGCATTGCGCACGAGCGGGTTACACGCACGCGTGTTTGCCTGTGTGTGTGTGTACGCGGTTGGGCGTGGTGCTGGCCACCCACCCCCCTCGTGTGCCGTGCCAGCCTTCATAGGTGCTACTCACTAACAGCACTTGCCCCAACAGTCTGTTAAGGCTATACAGGGAATCTTTGTCTTTGTTGGACGCGGTTTCCAGAACCGTTAATTGGTTACTTATGGCTTATGGGGAGCGGTAATGTAGCAGCGGTTCGCGCGCTGCGCTCCAAATCCGGTATCCTGAGTTCGATTCCAGCTCAGGGCCAACACCAGTAACGAGAACTGAATCAATCCTGGGCTTCACTCTAGGTCGGCTCAGCCTCATTTGAGTACCTGGTGTAATACATAACACACGCACGCATTGCCGCCCCTGCCAAGGGTGTTTAGACAACGCATTTGGCACGTCATGTACATGTGCGATGTTTACAGAAGCTCCAGAGCTGAGTGGTAACAGGAGCAAATCAGAGCTGAGTGGTAACCGGATTAAACCGGAGCTCTTACCGCAGCTGCTTGGCATAGTTGGTCTCGATTTCGGTCCTCTCCTTCACGAACTTGCAGTACTTCTCCAAAAAGTCAATGCCCCACTGCGTGTGCTTCTCAACGTTGTCAAACTGATCCTGTTAAGGAAAGGAGCGAAACGGAGGATTCGTCAAAAATACCGTTCCGTCAGCATTGCGCAACACCAGGATAATGGAGTGTTAATGTACGTATGTACGTTGAACTTCTTTCGCACCGTACGTGGCTAATCAGAGGTGCGGGGGAAGGTCATCACAATAAACAGAAAAAGCGCTTCTATGTGCAAGTACAGTCGGTCCCGGGTTTTGTTAATCCACTGCTGGATGAGGGCCTCACCACGCCTGCGATCGATCGGATTGTGAGCCTAGATAAAAAAAACACACACACAGGCACGCGACACTTGAAAGCCAGGGTAAAACGCCCTCCGCAGTCGATCACAAAGCCACTTGAGGCCCCCTGAGATTTTCCACTGCGGGGCCACAGGTGCGGGGCATTGATCACACGCAGCGCACACTCGCGCCCGGCGTCTCTTTCAGCTACGCACCGCCCGCCGGTCGATCCACCACCGCCAATGTGCGTCTGCAATCAGGAGACGAAGCAAGAGCGACTGGGGAAGCAAGTTGTACAAGCCAGTACGTAAAACACGCCGTCAAAGTGTCACGAGTTAAGCTACAGTGTACGCAGACACACACACTAGTCGTTCTGGTGCACCGGATGACATGAAGTTAGCTGTGTAGTGAATTTAGTACTGGTGTTGGTGAGCTGTGTGGTGAGCTTAGCATTGGTGTTATTGAGTTTAGTACTGATGCTGGCGAGCTTTGTGCGGTGAGTTTCATAGCGATCGGTTTAGGGGCTTTGTAGCTTTCTGCGAAAACCGTGAGCAAGACAGGACAGACGAACATAATGGTTCCCAGGTACGGCAGTAAGTGGTCCACGAGCCACCTTTAAAAATACAAACAACACAGAGCAGCAAGCTAAATGGACGCCCGCTGTCCTTTAATGGGGAACGCACGGACTCCACACACAGTACGTTAGGCAGAGGTCACCAGAACCGCGCGCACGTACATTTGAGCGACAACAAAGCGACCGGTGGTGGAGGGAAGGGAGGACCCGCACCGCATTCACCTCACAGAGCATAAAAGCCACCGGTATCTGATGGTCACGGGGCTGTGAGCCGCCACACAATGCGCGCCCCGAGCGCTCGGCCAAGGGTAAATAGTACAAAATTCCACGTAATTAATAAATAGCGGGGGGCGGAGAGGGGGGATCCCGTGTAAAAAAAAAAAATCTCACCTATGCAGAACACATCCTTCTCCGTCGAGCAGTTGTGTTTGAAAGCCGCGTAAAGTTTAAGTGGAGTTTTGTTTTGTCGCTTAGGATGACAGATAGGGCGAGGGGCGACGGGACGCTCAAGCTGCGTCCACACGTTCGTCTCCTCTGGGACAGGGACGTTGCCCAGTCGAGCGTGCCTTTCTCCGTTGTAAAACGTAATCACTATAATAATAACGTTATTAATTCACAGCCCTTTGTCAACGCATTGCTTTGCGAAGGCCTCCAGACTGGATGAGGCTGAGAGCTACGAGGGCACATGACAAGCACGCACGGGGTCTTGGCTTCCTGCGGTCTGCGAGCAGCACCACGCCTTTGCGTGCTGCTGTTTCAAATTGAAGGCCTACCCCTACGCACTACGTCGGTCACGGGGGTTGTTTGACCATATTTCACCATGCTGGTCAGTGCGGGTTAAGGAAGTGGTGGCACAGACCCAGTTCGGATATCCTTATATAATTCTGACAGCTCACATTCGGCATTACCGCTGAAAATAAAGGGTAAAAAATATATATACTATTAAAATTAACAAGCGAGAATCCCACGAATCGATACAAATCAAAACACGCCACCCAAACATCTCCACATAATTCCTCTCAGCCCACCCCCACTCTCTCCACTTGCAGAGTGATTTCATGAATACAACACTGTACACACACACTCACATCTGCTACGAAAAACTCTCTCAAAACCAAACAGCAAATTCCACGGGAGAAGATTTTTTTTTGCCTTGCACCAGCGGCTGTTAAGTGTAACAATTATGGCCCTCGACAGGCACGGGGACAAAATTGTGGTGCCGGATCTTTCCCGCGGCTACAGGCCTCGCAAAGAGCCTCACGAGGGACTCCAACTGTACCCAGAGGGCCCTCCAGGGCACGGTCACAGCTCACCAAGGGTGGCAGCATCCTCTTTTCACACCCGCGCGGAACACTTTGGCGGGCACGCGCGCGTGCGCGCACACAGACAAAGATCACCCGTATAGCCTGAACAGATTGTTGGGGCAAGTGCTGTTAGGGAGCATGGCACACGAGACGGTGGGTGGCTGGCACTACGCCCGGCTGCCTTTGTTTCCTCAGTAGCGATGTTTACACACTGCACCAGGTACTCATTTGAGGCTGAATCGACCTTGGGGAGGCCCAGGACCGGTTCAGATAAATCACTGATCTTGGCCGTGAGTGGGAATAGAATTTGGCGTCCCAGGTTCATAGCATAACATGCTAACCGCTACACAGCGCAGACGCAACACAGTACACGCACGAATGCGAACCCACATGTACACGCGCAAACACGCGTACGCGCGTGTACGTACATACATACATACGGTGAGCGGCGCAAAGGGCACAGGGCCCCAGCGAGGCATTCCAGACAGAACGGAGCGAAAACAAAGACGGAGAGGCGGAAAAACCCAAAACAAAATCACATGCCCTCGCTTTGCCGTGGATTCCGTCATGGATGTAATTGCTGTGGGAAACGTCCCGACTCGTGACATGAACAGGGCCTGTAATGAAGCTTGGTCCGGCGGAGCGGTGATTGTTTTTTTGGTTTTAACAGGGCCGTGCAGGAGCAAAACCCATATATTGCACTGTACTACGTTCCAACGTCAATGCCACCTGCCTTCACCAAAAACGCCAACGGCCAGCGTGGTGAAATATTCTCAAACGATGTCCAGAAAAGGCCCGCTTCGTCCAGCGGCCGAGTGACAAAAAAGTCCCGACCGTGTACACCGTCCGTGCAGCTCTGCACCTCTGCTTCAAAGCGACTGGACCATAGAGATGACGACGGCTCTTGGGAAGAGCAACAAGGGTGGCCTCGCTCACTCCACGTCGCTACGCGGGGAACAGCGAGCAACACGAGTGGCGAGTGACATACGGGGCGGCAAATTTTGACGACCCACTACACCAGGGGATCGACAACCCACCACACCAGGGGTGACCACCCACCACACCAGGGGTGACCACCCACTACACCAGGGGTCGACAACCCACTACACCAGGGGGTCGACAACCCACCACACCAGGGGTGACCACCCACTACACCAGGGGTGACAACCCACCACACCAGGGGTGACCACCCACTACACCAGGGGTGACCACCCACCACACCAGGGAGTCGACAACCCACCACACCAGGGGTGACCACCCACTACACCAGGGGTGACCACCCACCACACCAGGGAGTCGACAACCCACCACACCAGGGGTGACCACCTACTACACCAGGGAGTTGACCACCCACTACACCAGAGGTGACCAACCCACTACACCAGGGGTGACCAACCCACTACACCAGGGGTGACCACCCACTACACCAGGGGTGACCACCCACTACACCAGGGGTGACCACCCACTACACCAGGGGTGAGCAATCCACCAGGGGTCGGAAATCCCTACACTACACCAACCCGCACAGACCAGCGTGAAGTACGGTTAAACAACCGTCACGACCAGCGTGGTGTGCGGAGGCCTTCGTCCAGTGGCTGATTGTATCATAATAATTATTATCGTTGTTAGCATACCACATATTGCTGCTAAAATAAAATGTGAAGAAAATAAAGAAGTGTAATGTACCATGGATTGCATATGTTGAAAACAGCGTTGCACAGCACTGTAATCCGAGACGGTCATTTGAACAACCCACGTCCTTGATTAATCAAACGAGGCCACTTCATGTCCCGTCCCCTCGGCTACAGCTCCCCCACGCAGGGAGCATCTCGGCTGCCCCTCATTCTGTGCATTATTTACAACTACGCCAATGGTAAATAAGTTTAGCACGCAGGCCTTCGCGTCCAACACCATGATTCACAATTAACTTATAGGTCAGATCGCGTGAGTTGATCGCCGATGTCGTTCACGCGACACCTTTGTTTCGTGTCTCTGCGTCGGGCGGAGGAGGGTGCACGACACGCGTCGGCATTTCACTCGCGTGATGCGACCCCTCCGTTGCGGCCTGTCCGCTAAAGCTGCGTTCTTCAACGCGAGGCCCGCGGGCCACTGGCGGCTCGTGGTGGCCTTCAGCACGGCCCCTGACGTGCGGCCCCTGACACCCATCATCGTGCTGTCAAACCCAATGGTTTCAAATACGTGTGGTGGTTCTCACACCGATGTCTTATCGGTGAAAGTCCGCCCTTCCCCCCGCCACTGTGAAAATGAGTGAAGAGCACTGAGCTGAAGTATCCCTCGCTCACTCGCTCCGCGTCGCTCTAAAACTAAACTATTTTTTTTAATTTTACCAGGTAATGCCCACTGAGCTACATCGCTCTTTTTCAGCAGCGACCTGGCCACAAATGATAGCTCAACGAAGTGGCTTATCGCGTGGAAATTCATAGCAGCCAGATACCCGTCTAAACACACGTTGATTGGAAATGCGGAGGGAAAAACCGGAGGACCAGGAGAAAAATCCACGCGTCCACGGGGAGAGAGACATGCAAACTCCAAATATACAGCAGGGTTCAGGGTCGGGATCGAACCCACAAGCTGCTGTACACCAGGCGAGGTCGTCAACATCTCCTAGCCACCAGAGAGCAAGGAGTGAAACCGCGGGAGGAACTTCGGCGCTCCGCCCTGCTTCCTGTCTCGCTCGCTCCGCGGGGCCATGAGCTCGTACAGTAACGGCGACGCGTCCATGTCTAGTCGATCCCTACGTACGCATGCACACATGAATTTATTTCGCACCATACGCAGGCAGCCGTCCGCGCCAATCGGAGGCGCGCGGGGGGGGGGTAAATCGGAGGTGCGATGCGTACCCAACGGCATCGTGTGCAGCGCGTGGCCATCGA